CGCAACTCCCCTCGGCAAGCACTTTGCACCAAAACATTGACGTGTTTACCTCAGTGCAGCCTATCTACATACCGAAGAAGCACAATACAACTTTATCAAGACCACAACAATCCACAGTAATGCGATTTAGCTATTTACATTCCACAAAACTACTTTTTCTTGGTTGCTCTGATGAGGATATTGTGATTATTAAACCTCATTACCCGAGACTACCTTATACAGTCCTGAGAACACGGGAGCTACTTTCCCTCACTGTTAGCAATATCCCAGGTCTCTGCAGTATCTGAGATCTTGATACTGATCTGGATTTCGGTGTTCTACTATAGAAACCTAGCGTATGTCCAAAAGAACTAAGACTGGGCACATATAAAGCAAAGCTTTTCTTTGAAATTTCTGTGGGCTGTCTTAGTAAAATAAGAGACAGATAGTAATGAAAGAAACATACATCAGTTAAAAACCAGCAACTTATAATGATGAAGTTAACACAAGAGGGTAAAATTTTTATTGAAAAGAACACAACCCAGGCAATTACTACTGAACAACTGATGCCCTGCAACATCTCTGTCAGAAAACCAACCCAGATATTTGTATTTTTCCCCCCTCGATTTTTTTCTTGATCTTGTATATTTGGCTTTTTTTCTTCCAAGTGTCAAAACGGTATTAATATGAGGCTAAGTAGAACAGAGAGCTAAAGTGTACTGAGAGAAAACTTCGATTTGTGGAAACCTCTCTTTTACAGATTCCTTTCACACATTAGTTTTGTTATTTTTTTCTACACGCTATCTAATTCCTGTCAGTGTAGTCTATGTGACAAACAGTTTACATGCTATGCAGTCCTTCCTGACAGCTCTTTTACTTGTCAGAGTGCTCCAGCTTTAAACGCTTACAGAATCATCCACCTCAAATGCCTACTTGGATTGTCATTTCATTTTTATTACACGACTTCAGTCTGGACAAGTGATGCCCAGTACAGCTGCACCCTCCTATGTTGGTTATTCATCTTGAGCATTAAGCCTAATTGCTTGTGAACTAACATTTAAATACATAGCTTAAGAAGAAAAAAAAAATTGCTTTTGGTAAACTAGCTATTTAAAGGGTATCCATGTGTGTGTGGTTACTCACTGTAGGAGATCATTAATTTTGCATTAATTATTGACAGAAAGTAACCTTTTTTCCTTCCTTCTTATCCTGCTTATTGTAAATTTAAATGAAAATGTCTAGTTTGGCAGAAATCTGCTGCTTACCAAAAATACTAGAATAAGAACTAAATACAGTATTACAAGGCAGACAGACTACTACTGGGGGCATAGAGTGGTTTAATGTATCAGTTTATAAGAAAACTCAAGTTCAAGAGATCTGCATTTATGTAGGATAAGCTTGACATTCAGTGTTGGTCCTATTTACCAGAAAACTCTCCAAAATGAGATTTTTTGAAAAGGCTTTCCTGCTTTAGTATTATGTCATAATGTTTATGCAACTATGCTGAACCTTCTAGATCATTAATCAGCAAAATCTCAACAGTTGTTGTGTTCAGGGTCTGTGTCCTGCCAAAAGGATCACATGGCAACCAAACCAAGTCATGGCTGTAGGCTTGGTTTTGTTCAAAGCCCCCAAATATTATTGTTTCAGTAACTCTGGGTGGAAGTTAATGAAGTTCTGTTTGCTTCTGGCTTCTAGCTTTTTTTTTTTTTTGGCAGTTTTGGTGCAAGTTCTTAGTAAAAATGACAACTTACAGCATCTTGAAAACCAAACAGCACGAGCTGCACTTGACTGATACCATGGCTGTCAAAGTCTAACTCCAGTTTCAGTTTTGAAAGAGTGCTTGCGATGATTTTACGATCAGTGGACCGTACAAACTCTCTGAGGCTGGAAACGAGCGTTGTGATATGTTCCCATTTTAGCTTGGGTTCTTCAGCTCCCTGGTAGAAGAGATAGAGAAAGAGAGTTTTGATAGCCATCTTTTGAAATGTATACTCAGAGGGATTTTAGACAATATCAGATGGATTTTCAGAAACTCTGCTGCTATGGTTAAGGGAAAGGTGCAGCTGCAGGTCAGATAATGATAGCAGCATAACTACGGCAGCACAGAGCTCTACCACTGAGCTCCCTGGTAACGCAGATTACTTGACGAGCAAGTAGCCAACTTCATTTTCTATCAGTTGCTGAAGTATATGTGCACACTACAGTCTGTATGTCTCCTTGTATAGGAGTAAAAAGATATGAATAAATATTCTGTGCACTGAATGCTACAGATTACTCTTAATTGCAAACCAACCTGTACTTTGCAGTGCCTGTAATTTCAGAGTGCCTCTGAGAAACAACATGCAAAGTCCCACAGTAGTATTTAAAAGAAGGTATTAGTCAAAGTTACACAGAAGGCTCAGAAAGAGACTAGTTATTTCCTACATAATTTCCCTCGATATGGAACTTCTACACTTACCTATTCTTAGAGCAGGTCTACACATCTCTCACCTTTCTATTATGAATATTCAGATGCCTGTTTTTAAAAGCTTTTGTGTTTTTACATGAGCTACCAAAGTAGCAAAAAGCTCAAAAGCATTCATCAGAATAACCAGCATAAGTAACTAGAACGCAGAGAACTGTATTTACTCTCTAAAGCAAAATTATGCCAACTGAATACAAATTTCAATTCCAAAACTTAAAGTTAAGCTAGAGATAGAAAAACATACTAGTTGTTCAACATGAAATATTAGACACTTATTCTGAAGGAAGTTAAGTAATTATTTATATAGACTAAAGATATTTAACATTGATTTCTGTAACAGAAGGACATACGGTGTTTGGTTCTGTTGTATTTGCCAGTTTTAGGCCATGAATGTTACAGCTGGCCAGACATCAAGAACTGCTTGCCAATAACATTGAGGTTTTAACTACAGTTAATTAAATCTGATCAGGATGAAACAAAGACAATTTGATTATTTGAGAGAAACTAAAAAAAAAAAGAAAGAAAAGAAAAGAAAGCTCTAGAGCGGTCAAACACTACACTAAAGCACCCATCTCTGAGATAAAAGATCCTAGCTTCTGATCCTGATACGCTTGGATTTGGAGAATTTACCTGATGGTTAACTATACTGAAGTGGATCCCTCACTCTGTCCTGCAGTAGCTGATCTCCTTTTTGCGTAAATAATTAAAAAGCCAGTAAAGCAGACAGGTGGACACAGCACACTGTCCATCAAGGCATGCCTGGGACAGGGCAACCAGTATGGCTCCCTAATAAGGAACAGTGACCTATTTTGGGAGGGTCATTCTCCTCCCCTAGCCCCCACACTTAATGACTTTGTTGAAATTGTTCTTATGGAAAGTTTTCATGAAAGGAAAAGCACTATCAAAGCCTAAATCCTGATGAGGCCTAACAAGCAAGCCAAGCTTCCATCTATTGGTAACTTTTTGCATTTAAGCAGGCTATAACAAGAAGCCAACTCAACTTGCCCTTAACTGGAGTTACCACCACTTCCAGGTGGTTTGATAAGTTTCCTACTCTTTGACCAGGGTCCCTCTCTCAAGGGAGAAAATGGTGTTCAGGAGTCAGAGTTCTGCATCCTATTGAAGGGCAGATAGCCCCACGCACGTGTGCTTTGAACTCTTTGGCTCTACAGCTCCGTGTCTCTGCTCCTATCTTGGGCTGCTCCAGCCCCAGCCAAAGAAAGCATGAAACACCAAGCACCCTCTCTGGATCTTGTGATTGAGTTTCAGCCTCTCACAATCACTGATTATTCCTTTCATACACATGCGAACAACTGTGCCTGTTATAGCAACACTCTAGCAAAGCACAGATCACAGGCATCTCTCTTGCTGCCTGCTATTTTAACACTTTCTGCAGTTACCAGGACAACTGTGTGTTCTCCCCTACCCCCCACCAAGAGTTAGAAGCTCTTTTTATTGGTATGGCAGCAGTTTCCAATTACATTAAACTGTAGTACCTGCATAAGAATCATATTGGTTTGCATCAGTTTCTAAACAGTATTATCTTCAGAAGATGAGTTGTCACATTTTATACAAATATGTTTTAGACCAGCAATACTTAACCTTGAAAATGAAGTGAGGCAATTAACTACTAATGCACACATTACAAACAAGAACAAAAAAAATCATGTCATCCAATTACGGTGTTGCAACATTTAGCAGTGTGGTCATGACCTCTAATTTATTCAGTGTCATCCTGAACTCATACATCATCATGAATCATCCCCACAAAGGTGTGCCAAAAGGTCATTCTGCAATTATTTTGTTGTTTGCTGTAGCTCCCACTGTTACTCCATCTTCCCTCCCCTCCATATGTGCTTCCCAGCTGCTGTTAGGAATAGCTGCAGTTTATTTTCTCCCTAGCCCCCTCTTTCCCCTTTTATGGCTGTTGGCTAGAAGGCAACAGTGCACAAGTCAGCCCCATTTTTTCTACGCAATAACCTAACATAAGGGCAGAGCAGGCCAAATGACCTAAACCTCCCTCTATCAAACCAGTCAGGCAGAAGACAGAACTCTAAAAAAGGGGGCACGGTAATCACCTCCTGGGGATGATATATCTTGCATAAGTTGACTCGACAGCCTCGGTTAGTCACATTTGAAAATCACTGGCGAAATACAGTATCATGACAACATGTTTTTCTGTTGTCTGGTCAGCACTAATATCAATGTATACATATAGTATTTACAAACAACACAAAAGGCATAGGCAGTGCACCATAAACAATTTTAAAGCCTATTTTAAATAGCCCCAATAAAACAATAAACCTTGAAAGCTTACATAGTGTATGCTTTCTAGTTTAATCAAACTTTATTTTTTAATTGCTTTACTATGTGTAATGTTAAAAGTTCCAGGTAATTGCAGATAAGTTTTCAAATTCCATCAAATTTTTGCTGCCTTCTCAAATTACTTTACCTGAGCCAAAGCTTCCATCAAGTTCCTCACCACCTTCTCTTGGTCCTCAGTTAATATCCTGTGAAGCGTGGCTCTCCTTTCACTATCCTTCTTCAGCATGAAAAACCCAGAATCCTTCTCTTCGGGTGAAGGAGGTGCACTGTGATCCTCAAAATTTTCATCTGGGATGCTGAATGAAAGACAGTCAGCAAGAAGAAGCTTTATAAAAACCACCCCAATGCACACATTCCTAATCTACTGCATAACATAAATGCCAGATAGCTCTTTACCTCAGAAAAAGGGACCGAATTCCCTTCCCATCTTTTTCTCCACAGGATTTCGCTCTTGTTTTGAAAGAGAATGGATCGATTTTTAATTCTGTATCAGGTGAGACAGAACCATATTCACTGCTGCTACTTGTATCTTCCACCAGAACAGGGACAGGTAAGGATATACTCCGAAGATACTCTATTCATATAGGAATATTCAGAAATTAGAATTTCATAGTGCCATCACAGTTCTGAAGTGAAAGGTTATTCTTTCAGAGGAAACAGACTGTAGTCTTCCCCCACACCAATACAAAATAGTAAAAACAAAATTGACAAAACACTCCTAAAGCTTACTCTTCTGGAATAGGATTATCTTTCAGTTACATTTTTGTTCAAAAGCTTCCTGAGATATGGAAATCTTTGCAAGTTCACTTACAGAACTTCACTGCAGTGAACATGCATATCCTATCAGCAGCATGCACTTGCAGCAGTAAGAAAATGTTTCCACAGGGTAAGTTATCCAAGCACCTTCCAAAATCTTAATTTTATGTGTGTATATAAATATATTTAAGTATACAATACATACATTTATATATGCTATAACACATGTAAGTTACATTTCTTTATCAGGTTATTTTGTAGAAGTTTAATTAGTTCATAGTCTGATTAATAATAAACATGCATGTTAAGCCAGAACTTTTGTTTTTAAATCCAGAGCACGCATTACTGCTGCAAGAAACTAGTCATACCTATTTCACATGTGCACATTTCAAAATGTACTTTGACAGCAACTCAGCATGAAGGCAACTATGTGTTTGTTCACCCCCCCTCCCTTTTCACTAGTTCACTTCTTGAAAGAGATGAGTATCCTGTACCCAGGCCTGAGAAGGGGTCTCAAATGCATTCTGCTTTCTTCAAGTATAGAATTTAGCCTAATAAAAATCTATGTTATCTTTCTCTACAAACCTTGGCTCTATTGCTACTAGAAATCAGCCATTTGGTTTCCTGTTCAGATTTCCACTAAATGGTCCTATAACAACGCAGCTCTTCAAGCCTGTATTACCCACCTGCCTAGACATTTAAGACATGGTCTGATAGGATTACAAACAGTAATTAAAATTTGCACAATGAATAAGAGGTTCCTAACAGAGAAAGGTCACTTATTTTCATTATTGTGCTCAATTCTCTTTGCAACATTTCAGTGTGACAAATTATATCAGAATAAGTGATAACCACAGTATTCACACAGTAGTAATGTTTTGAAGTATGTTAAAACTCACCATTTGTGTTAGCTGAAAGAACTGTGGGAGAAAAGCAAAGAAAAAAGTTAAATGTGTGGACGTTAACTGAGAAAATAAGCAGTCTAAAGGATAACTCTCTTCCCCTTTTTGTGGGCTATCTGGACTCTCTTGTCTGCAATCTCTAAAAATGTAATTTATTGCAATTTAAAGTTAGTTTTAATCTGGGAGGTGTGGAAACCACGTTAAAAGCGATCATCCAACACCATCTCCTCTACCTAGTATTTTTATTTCTTTTAGGTATCATGCTAAAAATATACACAGAAGATATTTTCATAGGTATATATGCACATGCATAGAATATGTTATTCATACTCGCAAAACTCCTTTTATTACTTTCCATAATTTAGAATACTACAGGAAATGAGTACGTGAAACAAAAATAATGGAGCACACGCATATTTGCTATGGGACAAAGATTATTTTGCTCACGTAGAAAACTCCCCTGAGGCTCAATCGCATGGTGTAACCTTACACAAAATGTACTCTATGCAAACATTCTTTGAATGAAAGCACATGCAAATTAAAAAACCAAACCCCAAACAAACAAAAACCACAAAAGCTGCACAAAGCCATAAATAGACTTTTAGAAACCTTATTAAAAATATTTACATAAATCATCTCTGTGACAACATAACAGAATTCTGCTACAACAGTGGAGCAAGCTGCTGGAACAGGAGGTTACAACTGAACATTCACCAGGGATGGAGATCTGCCGTGTTCATCTTAAAGACTAAATCGGCAGTTTCAGGAAACAGTATCATCACGAGAAAAATTCCAGATTGAGTTTAGCAACACTTACCTGACAGCTTTGATGGGGACTTTCTTTTTTTGCTTGAAACCTTCAAGAATTCATCTATAAGTAGGTCATGAGCAAAAGCTCGTTTATCAGGATCTGGTTCAAAGCAACGCAATATGAAAGCCTTGGCTTCTGCAGACATGGATTCAGGAATCTCTGGGTGTATTTTAAACATTCCCACCTGAGACAAATGAAGAGAGAAACACTAAATAGCATAAAAAAAGTATTTAGATAGTAAAAGTGGCATATTGCTCTCAGGTTTGGATATTATCTTTCTGAAACTATTTTATTAATTGAGAGAGGAAAAACACCACCCGATTACAAACTGTATAAACAATTATATTAAACCCCCCCTCACACAATTGCAACTAGAGGCTCTCGCAAAGCAGAAAACTGCTTTTCTCAGTTTGTTGGTTGTTGTGGTTTTTTTTAAACACCCAGGCTCCTGAATAGCTGCTATTGCTCCATTACTCTCTTAAAAACTACACAACACTCCCACTCAGCTGAATCAGCTCATTCTTCTGAACATCCTCACTAACCATGCATTTCCTTTATCTTCTTTTCCTGCAATCTCTAATTCTAGCTTCTCCAAAACAGTCATAGATTTCTTATGTTTACAAATACCGGTCTGAGTTGTATAAGGAAGATGTCTGACCTTAAACATAGCTGCTTGTGGTTCTCCCAGTTCATAAAACGGGGGCTTCCCTGTAGCCATCTCAATGATCGTGCATCCCAAAGACCAGATGTCTGCAGCCTTCCCATAGCCACGTGGCCCTTTGTCTATGATTTCTGGTGCCATATACTGAAGGGTACCTGTTGAAAACATACTTATGTTTTCACTTAGGTGCACTAGTGATGCAAATAGATAGCTAAAGGACAAGAGGAACAAAATCACTGAGGAGTGAGCAACATCAGGAGAGTTAAAAAAACCCAACAAACTATTATTCAAAATTCAAAAATTTCCACATGCAATCTACTTCAAAGTCAAAACACTATTCAAAATATTAGTTGTGCTAAAAGCACCTGATATCACTTACTGATCTGACAATATTACTCTTCAAAGTCAGTGACAATTATTAAGAGGTTTCAATGAGCTTTGGAGCAGACATAATTTTCATTTACTGGATTATAGATTAAGATTAAAATAAGGAAGATCACTCTGAATTGCATCCAGAGAGGAAAAGGAAGTGAAACCTGAAATCTGAACCTAGAACAGCAGGTGATATGAACACTTTTTCTGAAGAGCCTGACGCATAAGTCTGCATTCTGTTCCATTTAGAGCAGAAATGGAAGAGCCGAGGATGGAATTAAAATAAGTCACTTCTCATTCTGCATAATTATTTAATGCAGTGCCACTGCATGATTTAACATCCAAACCAAATTAACAAGCAGAATAAGGATCAAGTTAATGACAGGCTGTGTAAAAGTTAGCCTTCAATCAGCAAGACGAAAAAGCCGTGCGCATAGAAGAGGCAGATTCAAATACAACATAGGAAAGACACACCTCTTCTGTTGTAGAGGACTTTCATGTCTCAAGTGGAACTTACAAACCAGCATTGCTTAAGATTAGGTATACAAAAAGTTAGTCTTGCAGCAACCTGTTCTATTGATTTGAAGTCAACGAAAGTTCAGCAACTCTGGATTCTGACCCTACATGCACAGTTGGAGCGAGGAAAGAGAGTCTCCTCTGGGTACATACCAGTGAAAGTTTCAGTACATGGGTTGATTCCTGCAAGTCTCTTTGAAGTTCCAAAGTCCGAAATCTTTAACACTCCACTGTACGTGTTGATAAGCACGTTATCACCCTGAGGAACAGAACATTCAGAGCGATTATTTTTCTCTGCTGACTCTTCATCTAAGACTTCTTGCATAGCCTGTTTCTACAATGCACTCTTTAGTAAGTAACAATTGCTTCCTAAGGCTCTTAAGAGGGGAGATGAAAAAGGAATCAATAGTGTTCCTGCCTTACGTAATCCCATTATCAGAAACTCTATCTCAAAGTGAACTTCCCCTACTACAGGAATTCAGTTACAGAATACAGAGAGAGGGGGAAAAGGCTGCCTTTTTTTTCTCTTTTTTTTTTTAAAGGGAACTTTTTAATCTGCAATCTCCTTGGAAAAGAACCCGCTAATATCCCATCCACAATCATCTTCACTTCTAATAAGCTTTTATGAAAGTTTGATCATGTCATTGATAACAGGAATAAAAATATCCACTTTAAAAAAATAGCCCCATCTTAAGTGGCTATATGTCAATTCTTCTAAAATAAAAACCCAACATATTTTGTTGGTGCAAATTCAAATTAACAATGGTTCACTTATCTAACCCACAGTTCAGAATAGCAGAGGTGGCATGTAGCAATGAAGAACTTTTGGAAAAAATTTTAAAATTACAGGACAAATAAATAGTTATGCAGTTACATAACACTACTATCAGGCTTAATTCTCTGCAAATTCTTACCTTTATGTCTCGATGCACTATTTGATTATCATGGAGGTATTTTAATCCTTCTAGAATCTGCTTTGTGTAAAAGCCAATTGTCTGCTCATTATTTTTTAATGGTCCCCATTTTGATCGTAGAAGAGCAGAAAGGCTGCCTACAATTTGGGAGAGCAAAAAAGTGAGAGTAAAAATCTAATTAAATTCTGCCTTCTCCCCCAAAGGAAAAAAAAAGTAACAACGAACATCAATCCCAAACCAAGTGTAAGCACTTCTTCTATAACCAAAGACCTCTCCAGGAGAATGCTAACTTGCATCATTGCTCGCCTGAGTAATTAAAAGGCGAGTCTCAGTATCTCCTCTGGCCTCAGCTGCAGCAGAGGAGCATGAGCCTCCTCAAGCAGGCAGGTCAGAACGCATTTAAATCAATGTGCTCATCTCTCTCCTATGCCTGAAGTTTCCCCAGAGGAATGCTATGAAAGAGTGAAAAAGGGTTGGTCTTGGTGCACACACCAACTCCACAGTTTCTCGAAAAGCTAAGCTAAGCTCAGGAAGTGGGGTTTTTGTTGTGTCTGGCTGCTGTGAGTTCTTGGGTCTCAAATAGAAGCAACAATCAATCAATCACCATTCTCTTGTGTTAGGTACCTGAGGATTGCTCAGCCACCTGAGACTAGCTACAGTCTTTCTAGTAGGATAACCACAGATCATCTCTGATCTGTAGGTAAAAGGACCCCCCCTGCCACAGCAATGAGCTGAGCTGTATCTGTAGCACATCCTATCCACATACTGAATGAGAGGACTCAAGCACTTTGAAGACTAAGACTTCCCACTAATTTAGGAAAGAGATACTAGAGAATATTACATTTGCATGCAATGTATCTTGTTGCAGTGCTACAGGTTTTATACTTTTAAGAGGTTAAAAAATAAACAAACCAACCAACATCCAAACCAGTCTCTCCCACAACTTACCGCCTGGCACCTGTTCCATGAATATCTTAATGAAGCCATTCTCACTAAGAGAACCTAAATACTGGACAATGTTCTTATGTTTGAGATGCTTATGCAAAGCTATTTCTTCATGCAAAGGTTGGGAGTATCTGAAAGAAGCGAAGCAGTTTATTCAATATTGACCTCTGGGAAAAAAGTCTTGCCTTTACTGTAGTAGCTGAAGTTCTATTTTAGGTCCCATGAAACATGTTTACACTGAAAATGAATGTGTGTTAGATGCATTTAACAACAGTGGGTGTGACTACCACATACTAAAAATTATGTAATCATATATAAATACACATAACATATATAAAATATATATAATACTGTGTATACATACACATAAAAATGTTATAAATGTACACAGATAGACTGAACAAAATAAAATTTGTGGAAAAAGAACTCCTCTCCAGCCTAACTGAAAGAGAATCAACAGGTGGGCAAGCGGTTGGATTCAGACTAGTGCCAAAGTGAACTAGTAAACCAGAAAGTTAGTGTATAATTAAAGTCACCTCAATAATGAAAACAAATGATCATTTAAATTTCAATTAATTAAAGTAGAAGTCTTATCTGAAAACAAGAGTAGATAGCTATGAGAGTAAGAAAACAGGAATCATTTCATTGGGAGATATTCAGAAGAACTGATCAAAACAATTTCATCAAATATAATTTAGTCCAAGGTAAAATATTTTTCAGAGATGTAAGCTTTTCAGCAGTCTTTTTTGCCAAGAAGGTTTCTGGAGTCCAGATCCTTCCCTAGTATGGAACAGTACCAGAGCTCAGCAGCTGATGTGCTTCCTGGGCCAGCCCTAACACTCTTCTTCCAACCATGGGTGAGTCGCACACATCCTGGTAGGTCAGCTCCAGATTCTGTGTTTTATCTGTCTGGCAAAATGCTGAGAGGCTGGTGGCTATTTTCACTCAAACACTAAAATCTGCAGTCAGACTTCAGGGTAGCTGGAATAGATGAAGGACACAGACCTCCCTCCATCAATCCAGATGCAAGAAGGAGCTGCAGAATCTTGAGCAAATGGAAGACATATTCAGATGCTTATACTGAGGGAGCAATAAATATAACTGCAAACTCAACCTTGCAGCTACTGGCCACCAGAAGGAATAGTTTTACCGCCACCTTCACCAGGTTGCTCTCGGCATAGACTCTGCACCAGCACTGGTACATTCTCATCCCCTAACAAACTGGCAGAAAACTTTTGCTTTATTTCTTTGGAGGAGGGGTAGCGTCCCGCTGCCTCAAGCCCAGGGTTAGTTCTCCCTGGAGCCAGCAGAGTGCCAGTGCCAGGAATGCAATCAAAGCACAAATGCAATTGAAGTTGTTAGGGGAAAAGTGCCTGTGAGCTCCACTCCCTTCTGGGGCAGTTAGTTATCACCTCACCCTAACAGTGGCATCAAGCTACAAGTGGAGGCTGAACTCTTTAAAAACTGGAGGGAAAAGAAAAAAGAAAAAAAGAGTGGGCATCTGGAAAGCCCTCTGGAATATGACTGTTGCAGAAAGCAAGGCAAGTATATGGTTAACGAAAAACGTGATTGTGCAACTCCGAGTCTATTTACTAAAGACTAATTTGAGTTTTGGCTTGCCTCCTCTTCACACATGACTATAAAGATTCTGACTGTACCGTTAGTCATTCAGAAATGCAAAATCATCAGAGATTATAGTCCTGAGTTCTACTAATGGGATATTCATTCAGAGCAGCAACAGCAAGACCATTATAATTCTTCCCCCTGCACTTTTAAACTGCAGAGTTAATTGAGTCTTGAGCAACTAAAATAACTTAGCAAATAAAATAAAGCCATAAGACAATTCTCCTGCAGGATGAAGCATTTGTTACTTTAGAATGTAGTCGCATTAGGAGACTTTAAATGACATGAAGAAAGAAAAATTCTAAATCCTAAAAAGCTCGATCTTACTATCTACCCAACATGATTTTAATTTAACTTGGAAAGTTGATATGGCCACAGGTACTATTTTGTAGTACTGAGGGCAAGAGCATTGCAGGATGTTTCCTTTTCTTTCAGACTATGACTCTGTAGTCTAACATTTCCTAACGATTAAGTAAATTAGTCAGTAGCTTATATATAACATATAGCAGTATTGAAGACACACTGGTTGCATAGAAATCATTGCATTTCTGGCCATGCTCTGACTCAGAACTTAATTTTTTCTTATGAATCCAAAAGATGGTAATTTTTACTTTGAAAATGGTAAGAATTAACTTCAGAGATTAATATTTTTCTTTCTATAGATTTCTTTTCAAAGTGCTAAAAGATCAGGTTATAAGTAATTATAAATGAATTAATATTTTTTTCTTACTTTGCCATTAAAAGAGTAACACTTGAAATTTGTCCTGAAAGTCTGTAAATATTTTTGAAAGTCTAGATGAAAGACTAACAGCTTCTTAATAATCTCTTTTCCACTATGCTTTACACATTGAATGTGAAAATCTTCCATTGAATTTTGGTTTTTTAAATGTTTATCGGAGAAGAAAAATCTGGAAATTTTTTTTTTCCTTTAATTACTGCTCTATTCAGGCTATCTTTCTATTAACCACAGTTGTTACGAACAACAAAATTCTTAGCACGTACAAAACTTGCAACTTTATTTTGAGTCAAGAGATTGTCTTATGTAATGAGGTCATACTTTCTGAGAAATTGTTAACACACCTTGAAGTTAAATTTACAGTAACAATGAAGAGGATGGAAGGATTCCCCTTTCCATAATCTCAGTTCTAGTATCTTTAAAATATTATGAATATGGAAAAATTATTAGACCACACACACATTCATATTGAACAGCCAATATACACACAGATTCAAAAAGATTTAGAAGGATTCATGTTTTAAATGTCAAGGAAAAGAACAACTGAAGTGAGGAGAGAATAACAGAAGAAGGCCCACAAGAGAGACCCATGAAAAAGAAACTGAGCTAGGACACCAGGTGGCCTTACTGACCTTCTGTAAATTACACAAAGAAAACTTTTTATAAGAGTTATCACACAGTGTCCTGTCAACATCTAGGCTCCAATACAATTTAAATAACAGTATTTGATGCTAGATCGGTTGTAGAGAATAATGCTCTTTCTCTGTGGTTTTACCCCCAGGGACATACATTCTAGAGAAAAGTGAGAAGAGTAACAGCCACTGTGCTGGGTTAGAATAGCCTTGTCTAGCTACTGTTTTGAATACCAGCACTCTCTAAGGCAACTGCTGCGTAGGGACGGGTAAAACCAGCTTCCTTCCCGATATTAGTTGTAGATTGAACACTGCACAAACAAGGATACAGTTATTTCCTCCTACAGAGGAAATGCAGTATGCCAAGATACGGTTTCTGCTGAAGGACAAGCTATCATAGTAGTAAACCAAAAAAGCCAAATGAGCAAAAGACAAGAAACTTGGAAATACATATTCCATTCCCGACTGAAACGATAGACAAACATTCACCAGTTGGTACACTCGGTATTTTACCTCCATTCATTTAATATGTGATCCCTCCTGCCACCAAGCAGTGTTCTGTCTTTATCAGAAGAGCTTCCTTCATAAAAATGATTTATTGGGATTATTCCATCCATTGGAAAAAGAGGGATTTATCTTTCTGTTACCAACCATGGCAATTACTATTTCCTACTTTCCACAGCTTTCCTGAACATAAGCCTGAGTTACAGTCTTTGATAATATTTGATAGTCTGAGAGGCACTTTCAAGATTTAGGCATTCAAGTCACCTGTTAAGCAGCAGCTTGTACAACACTTCACTACAAAAACCAAAGGCTAATGTAGAAATTAGGAATAAGAATTACTTGGCAATTTAATACAGTCAGTTTCTTTTCAAAAAATCTTTAGACTTGCTATCACTTTATCACAATATTTGTGGAAATCTATGTGTTCAATATAGGATACACTGCAAGCCTCCAGATATACAAGTACAAAGGACATCAAGTGTCTGATCTTTACATGGCAACCTTTATAAATGAGAGGAGGCAAGACATATATAAAGAGACACTACATTAAAAAAAAAGGACAAAAAAAAGCATTCCACAGGATTTATTCTAATGTTAAGGGGCTTCATAATAAATGATGCACAAACAGGAAAGGAAAATGTCTTTATCAACAATTCAGGCTCAGAATTTTAAAGGACTCTGCAAATCATGAATTTCAATAGCTCTTTCATGAGGACACGTAGATAGGGCTTATCACTAGGTGTTTGAGTGAGATTCTGTACTTCAGCAATATTTCTTTTGGAAAGAAGAAGTATTATAAACTACTAGTACCAAACCCAGTCAACATCTAAATTCTCAGTTGCAATCATAATCTAGTCTACAACTTGGAAACGTCTAGTTACAAAGACAGGGAACACCACTACATACCACAGACAAGTAATTTACTGGCTGCTCTGTAGAAGAGGTACTCCTTGATCAGCAAACTGGTTGATCACGTTACTGATGAAATTATGTAATGCACAAAATTTGGAATCAGCCACAGTTACTATACCTGCTGTCTCTCTCGGGGATTTCTTTAATAGCAATTCTGACTTGATTGCTCAAATCTCGTCCTGCATATACAATGCCATAAGTTCCTTTCCCCAGAATGACTCGTTCACCATTTTCATCATATTCGTAATCATACTGCAAAGCAAACAACAACATGAAATGAAACAGAGGCATAAGATTTATTCTATCTGACACTGTGCTCATAACTCAGGCATACAGGGCGCTAGTTGCTTTCTGCAGACTATGGAGAAGCAAAGAAAAGCACTTCAAGATGACAATTTGGATACCGTGCAGACATGCCTATATTTCTGCACTGACTGTACAGGAAGCACAGGCTTCCAAGGTAGTCATTTCAGGTAAGCACATAAAGCTAAGCTAGCCTTTATCTGTTCCGTGCAGTTACAATTTTATGTCTTATTCAACAGCATCTGCAATTCTGCTGGCAGGTGCTGTAAAAACAAGAGAAGACAACAGAGGGCAGTCTGTGCCAAATGGAGAACTTTGGCTCCCACACAGACAGAGAAAGCAAGGCAGGATGCACTTAATTTGTTTCAGATGCTCTCCTGACCTGACCACATCTTCCATAAACAGCACGACCTCAATTTTGCCAGTGCCAGGTCAGCCAGCAGAGTGTGCCGATGGAGGTTAGTCAGGATTGCAGTGTATTAAGCTTGGTTTTGGCTGAATTTGAATTTCAAAGAGTTTAAGGCCAGTCCAGAAACAGTCGTTAGATAATCTGATCTGTCCTCTTGTGTAACACAGACATGTAATTTCACACGGTCACTCCCATGTTAAGCCCAGTAGCTCACGCCTAGATAAAACATTTTTTCTTTTCCTCCAAATAAAGACTGCTATCTTTTTTAATAAAAGAGAGAATCCACTACTTCTTTTAGTACTTTGTTTCAACAATTAATTACTCTCATGGTGAAGTCATACATCTTAATTCAAATTACTTTGGTGCCACTGTATTTCAGTTCAATTTACTTCAATAGATTAAAGAGACCATTAGTGCATAGTAATTTTCCCTGTAAAAATACTTACAAGTAACCCACCGCTTTTCTTTTTGCCAAAATAAACAAATTAGGCAGCCTAAGGTTCTCATTATAGGGTATTTTTCTATCTCACAAGTCACTCCAGTGGTTTCTGTTTGTCCCATCTCCAATTTCAGATGTATTATAAAATGTCAACATCAAAACTGGGACAGAGGGCTGTATTCATTACCCAGTACTGACTCTTTCAGTTAGTTCTGGATATCTCTAGAGCTTCGGGACACCAGATTTTCACGTGATAGCACATGGGCTTAGATATTCTATCCTGTTCCCTGCCGCCTAAAAGAAAGCCTGCACACCTTAAGTACTGCATTGCACTCAGTGGCCCTGTACTCACTTTTCAACTGTGTGTATATTCAAATAGAAACCCAAAGTGAGAATACAGTGCGTAGCGGCATGCCCAGGCAAGCTGTAACTTAGCTAACGGGTGGCAGCAGAAGTAGGGCATCCTGAGCTTCAGTGTGAGTTAGTAGGCTAAGGGTATAAACAGACTCCCAGCAGCACCAACATCACCGTCACCATCCAGTTTGAGTTTGCTGTTCACTGCTGTGCTTGCCTACAGATAGCAACTAGCAAGGACAAGCCTTCCCCTACTACAATTACACCCTTAATTGTTGTGCAGAGGATCTGCCAATCATGTAAGCATACATGATTCCAGTGATGCATGAAACAGACAACAAACAGTCTTTAAAATTTAAACAGATGCTAATTCTGCCTGACTACAATTACACTCTGGAGGTAACTGTTACAAGAATCACTTTGTCATAAGCACGACTGGAGAATTCCAGAATTGAGTACCTTCTCAAGTGAGCATGCTAACTGAAATACGAGAGATGTAGCTACGCTGGTTACAAGAACTACATGGGGATTATTAACAAGAATCATTAATTTATAAGCAGAAGAAGATAAATTTTTTTAAACAATAACTTGTCTAACTTCTTCCAGAGAAGGGATGAGCAATTTATTCCCATCAATGAAATGCTACACTAGAAGCCCAAAATTCTTAGTATGCTGGGGGGGGGAAAAAAAAAAAAAAAAAAAAAAAAAAAAGCAGAAGTACCTCTAGAGAGTCTCCTTCACATTCCCCTTCCTCTGTAGTCTTCCCTATTTCTTCAGTAATACTGTTCACCATGTCAAAAAACCTGTTAAAAGGGAAAAAAAAAAGAAAAGAAAATACACTCTTGAGACAGTATGGGGACAACGAGAATGCTTCTCTCTGAAGTAATGAAAGAACCAAAAGAGGACTTAAGTATAGTAAATATAAACTCAGTATAACTTTTTTGTTGGCAAAAAGAAAAGATACATTTTTGTTTACATGGAGAATTAACAGTCAACAGTCAAAATCTGCAGTTTTCCTACTTCTTTTATGTATTCCTTTTATATGTGCAAGGCAGACATGACATCAGAAATTATTAATGGAATTCATATTTCAAAATCTATGTATCAGGTGAAATTCTCATCCTATACCACTGTTTCTTTATGTCCAATGAAAGCACTGAATCGTCACGAGAAGTGCCTAGAACTCCTGCCTACATCTGGAGGAATTTCTGTAGTGCGGAAAGGCTAGCTTCAAGTTTTTGCTTGAATGAAAAGGGGGTCTATTTTACAACTTCCTATTTAAAAAAATGTACTATTACATATGACTTCTACCCCTTTGAAAGAATGCAAGTAAAAATACCGTGTCATGTTAAGGTATTGCTTAGTGCTCAGATACGAAGGGGAATGAACATGGTAAAAGAACCTATGTGAGCTAGAATGGATGAGAGGACAAGCTAGGGATTGGGCTGGGAAGTGGTCACAGCCATTAATATGGAATACCACTGTCATTTTTGGTAAAGTTGCAGCCTTTTTTAGCACAAAAAGAAATGAAGTTTCCTCTGCGAATGCCTTTTGGATCAATTCAAGACCGCAGCCCTCAAGCTTATGGAGCAGAAACACAGTTTAGAGAATCTGAGGCACCCCTAATTTTGTGCAACAAACCATTATCAAGTTTCCTGTAGGGATATTGGTACAATCTTATTTCTATAAACATGATGGTAATGAATAGGAAATCCAGTGTGCTTCTTTGTAATTGTAAATAAAATTTTAGTTACAGTAAAAGAGAAATCTCGACCAGACCTTGTTGTTATCCCAGATGTTCCCGCTTCAGAAAGTCCATTTTAAGTTTAGGGTACTTTGTTGGATTGGGGCAACAATCACTTGTAGTAAGCCTTAATATGACAAGTATTAGAAAAATAATCCCACAAAATGTGTAAAAAAAATAATTAAATTTGTAATCATATTTGTTTCCGATGTTTGTCTGAGCTTGCACTTTGACCTTTCAAACCTCATACATCTTCAGAGTACTGTAGTACTAAGCTTTCGCACGAAAGATGGTGATCACTGAAGATGCTCAGATAACTTTCACCATAGTTCTGAAACAGTCAGGCCCTGCTATGCATGCAGACACCATCTACCTCGTCACAGGCCACCTTTTTTTCTGAAACAACAACAGTGACACACCTTCTGCAATGAAGTTCTGTGCAGAAATAGATCTGAAAGTCATCTGAGTTGTGCAGCACGTATAGGAAACAGCACCGTTCTTCAAACTTCGAAATGCTGAAAGAACAGCCAAGCGGAACATGTTATTGGAAGGATGCACTTGGACTTGTAGCAGCTGTCAAACCATACAGACCAACCCATTTAATATGGGAAAGGACCAGATTAAATCTAAGCAGCCACAGATTTTCCTTATTGTAAAATTACAGTTCTGTATCCTCCAAAGTTCACATTTTGCCATTTGCTCTCATTCAGCTTGCCCCCCCCAGTCCACACATTGCCCAAAAAAGAGTAGGAGCAAAGAAGTTAATAGGATTATTTCGATTGACCTGAGTCATTTTTGTCTTCGGTGCATTTAGGTAAGGCCCTTAATTTCCACTCCTGCAGCCAGGATGAAACATCCTTTCAGGATCACATTAGAAAGCTAGACTTTGAACTCGAATCATGAGTTCCTCCTGCTTTAGAAATCAGCCACAGCTCAATCCTGAACACAAAAATTTCTGATCGGTTCCTTATGAATTGGTACATTAATAGTATGTTGGAAAAATATTTTAAAATTAAGTCAGCATCAAAAAATAAGGTGAATGATTTTACCACCCTTGCCCACCCACGCCTTTCCTCAGTTTTGGTTTTATCTGCTTTAACAGGCGAACAAAGATAATGAAGAACCATGTATGCCATTTTCTTATGGATGCATGGATGTCTCAGCAGAAGAGGTGCAAACTCTGGTACAGTTGTAAGTTTTCTACCCCAAGTAGGCTGCAGCTCTTGCCAATATATTCATTCACCAGAACGGTTTTATATGCATGTCATTACTGTCCTCCTTATAGGAAATATTAAACATTATTTGAAATAGCTCTTTCTGTAACTTTGTCACATGCTAAGTGCCAGGTATCAAGCTGATGAAGTATAATTGATTGTTACTATATTAAAAAAAAAAAAAAAAAAGATGGCTAGCAGTGTTACAAGGGAATATAATACAGTATTTGAGAAACAAGATGAATTAAATCTCCTTACCAACATTCTTAAGATACTGGACAAATTCCACAATCCTAGTGAAATCAATCTATTTTAGCTGGATCAAGATGGCCATCATGTTTTTAATTAATTTACAGCACAATAAAGTAGAATTGTGTTCTATATTGTGCCAAAGGATTGATGATTTGATTCATGTAACAGTTTTTCTTTAAATATCAGGAAATACTTGTAATTGTCAACCTTCAATGGGTATCTAAGGCTGTCTGATTCTTGCTTCCTTTTAGGATTCCTCTATTGTAGAGCCCTGTGACTTTTGATAAACGCCTCTTTAGACAAGCTGGGGGGGCCAGCCTTTCATAAAGCTACTGATGAGCAGAGTGAGCTTCATTATAAGAATATTTGTCTTTGGGTGTGGTGACTCATTTATTTTTACGTTAGGAAAAATTCATAAGTGCTAAGTAATATACACATCTGGGAAGACAGTCACTGTCCCCAGTTTATAATCTAACTTTTAATTCAAACTCTCCAGATATGGAGTAACTGATATTAACAGAATTACTTATTCATTTCAAGTTCCATATGAGTTTAAACATTTTACTGAGTAAATTGTCAGTTTAAACCTGACGTGCAACACAGCAGTGAATGAAAGGATAAGAATGCGGAGTGTACACAGAGGGCAGGCGAATTCATAAATATTTAAGGCCTTTAAGTGAGTGTTTACGTTGCTAATATGTTGCTTTCCTCTGTGAAAAAAAAAGTCCTTAAAATGAAAAAAAGACGACTAAAAAGTACCAAGTTATAAAAAGAGACAGGATAATTTGCTCAGGAAATGCCTCATTCTGACAGGTCCCGAGCACACGTAATACCCTCTGACTTCTACCACAGCAGAACTGGGGCTGAATTAGCGAAACTCTGAAGACAAACAGGGAAGCGTGATGTAGCGTGGCCTCGTGCCCGGGTTGTGTGCCTCCAGAACTCCCCTTAGTCAGTGAGACATGCTGCAAATGTTGTAACTACTGCTTACTAACACTTCCAGATGAAGCAGCAGATAAAACAGTTGAGCATTGGCAGCAACCACAGAAAAGCAGCTCCATGGAACTTTTGTCTGTTTTCTAGATGTGTAGCAGTACAGACACCTCCCACTGTTGTAATTAAGTAGCCTGACGAGATTCCAAGCTCCAAGAACTTGGGATGGCAGACGAACATCCTTGTTGTCATTTCTTAAGCTACGAAGAAAACTGGATGCAGATCTGAATCCAACTTTTCACTGTTTCCTACACTACATTCATCAGCGTGACCTCTGAGGCACTCTCCCACAGAAACAACACAAGTAGCAGTTATTTCATGATCCAGGGCTTGTTCCGAACACTGAGAAAAAGCCAACTTCTAGTTTAGCAACTTCAGTCTGCTACTTTATTTTTTATTTTTAAATTGGAAAAATAAAGATGGCATCTTCTTGCTCACATGATGTCAGCTCTGCAGAACTCTAGGGACTTTTCTGGATAACCTAAGATGCAAAGCACCTTAGGGTAGCAGCCATGTTCCAAAAGCTCTGATGAAGCCTTTAAGATTAATAGTACTTTCTGGCCCCATTCAATAAAAAAACATTTGAGTTTAAGAGGTCAAGAAGGCATATGACAAAAGCAGAGTTATTTACATCAGCGCACAAACTGCTAATCAATGAGTTTGTTGAGCTCATGAGTTGTTAGCACCATGCTGCTCAGAGAGCTCTATGCACTTTCCAAGTCCCTTTGCACTTCTTGAGAGCTGAACTCTATTACTCATGAAATAAGATGCTGATTACACTGGCTGATACACAGCACACAGAAGAAGTGATCCCCCAGTCACTTCCTTTGAAGTATTTATCAAAACCATTCGCCATTTCAATGCTAGATGTCTCTTCAGACCTGCTGTCTTCCTATGTAATGCAGCAAATATTTACAGAGGTCTTTGTCGAAAAAGCCTCCAAGATCATGTACAAAGACCTGCCTTGTACCTTAAGGCTGCACTTCTGAAGCTGGCTCTTCCTAGTGTAGAAAGGCTGACAATCCTCATAATGCTGGGAACTGCCCCTTCCTTGACTGCTTGAAGTCTAGGAGCTTCAAAGGAGCCAAAAATAGTCTTGATACAAAAATAGATTAGAAGCTGTCCCACTCCAAAGAATACCTGCATTCATAAAACTAAGAAAAAAATCTGAAAAACACTGAAGAATTAAGTGATCATAAACTTGCATATATTTGGAAGGAGGAGAAAAAAAAAAGAAGACAGACTTATTCAGTTTTTTACTTGCATAAGATAAAGATTTCCCCTGCAGCTCCTCAGGGAGGCAGCCAGAGAGTTTTCTAAGAATTCACAGTGACTCTTGGCTCACTGTAAAGTCTTCCAAGTTGTTTTGGACATCTGTCCAGATGAACAGATTGGAAATTTAAATGACAAATTAAATGATAATTGACAGTTTAAGTAACAAATGCAGAAGGGTACACCAGAAACAGTACTGACCACAGCATGGTTTACTTAGTAAGGGGGAGGGGAAGCAGGGGGGGGGAAAGGACAATAAATAAATACTTTCTTTTTTTAGAAGCATACAAAAACATACTGTAACCAAAACCCAAACCAGACTGAACTGAGCGTATCATTGCAATTTTTGCCTAAAATAAGCTGAATCCCACAGGATTGAATTTTTGTGCCTATTGATAGTTTGGGTTTTTTAAGTTACTTTTTGGAAGGAAAAAGAATCATCCATCTGTGCAAAAAAGTCCTGCAGACATAGCAACAGTTTTATGTGTATGGAACAGTTATTATTAGAACAGAGCAATGACTATTTTTTAAAAAAAAAAAAGTAAGATTTCTGGACTTTTTTTTTTTAATTATACTAAAAGCAAACACCAAAGTGGAAAGTTGCAGGATGCCAAAGTACAGATAAATCCTAGGGGAAAAAAAAAGAGACTAAGACAAAAAATTGATCTGAAGAGGTCACGGCAGTGGTAGAACACTACTTTCTTACTATCAGAAGATACGAATTGCAAGGCTGCACTCTGCCAAACAAGTTGCACGCTGGGCTAGCAGAGCAGACCCACTAGCTCAGATTCAGCTGTTCTCTACTGACAATATGGCACACAATCCAGTAAAGAATTCTCCCTAGAAGAAGTGTCCCTAGTAGACAGAAAACATTTTGCTGAAATCAAGCAAATAGATGGCAAAGTTTTCTCCTTTGTCATTATCTCACAGGCCCTGTCTCAAAGAGGGAAGTGTGCTGAAGAAAAGAGAGGTGATCTTGAACAAGTAACATCATTCTCTTCTAATCCAGTCAAGTCAGTCTTGCACGTGTCATTCCTGATCCTATGCTTTATTAATCCATGTTAACCTAATGAATTCCACATGAATCTTTGGGAGGTTAGGGGTTGTTAGTTGTATTGGTTTTCCCCTCTTTTTTTTTTTCTTCTTCTGACTCCCTTTTCTGTTCTCTCAATCTTCAAGTTTTCTCTTCGTGGTCTAACTACCACTCTGTGTTGACAGACTCCTCTCTTTACAGGCCTTCTCTGAAACAGTTTTGCTGCCATATCCATAAACACACACAGAAACAAAAAAACCCTCAAACATACACACTCACACCAAAACCCAATAACAGGTAAGCAATTAGGAGATCTATATATATATACACACACACCCTGATCTTGTCAGTTCCTCCTGCTCTGTGTCCACACGTTATTTCCTGGCTTATATATTCTGTGCACCAGGCAGCTCCTGGCTGTGGCAGAACTCCTCAGGTAAAATGATGTGAAACACTGGCAGTTATTTTAATTTAATCTTAATTAGCATAAAGTGACTATCGAATTTTAGAAAATATTAGTTATTTAATTCATCGAGCTATATTGCTAGTTTTTACATAATGAACTCTGCAAGCCATCATTTCTGAATACAGAATAAGACTCTTGGGGTTCACTTAGAGCAGGGCACCTGTCAAAGTGCCTGTAATACTCCACTCCAATTCTGTGTCTGTTACCAAGGTGCACAGCAGCAGCTTAATACAACACTCATTCGATTACTCTCTTCATTTCAAAACGTGAAAGGGAAACAACTTACCTTACTCCCCTGATAGAAGCACCACTGAAGTTCCACTCGTGGATACCTTTCTGTAACATGCGGAAGAAAATAAATAAACAAAACATTCCTTTTTATGAATGAAGCACCAGTAGGCATCTCCTAGATTGAAACTCAAGAAATAAAAAGTGAAACACTTGAATTACAATAGCCTATTACCTTTTAAACAGTTAGTTTTCAGGGCATTTTTTTTTCCCACCCAAAACCAAAGCAACAGAAGTTCCAGACAGAAGTTTTGGGTTGTTTGTTTCTTCACCATTCACTCTGCAAACACCATAAAGTATTTCAGAAAGCATGCAAAACAGCAGATCAGAAGGGCTGCCAGTATCATCTGGTTGGGATGCTGAACTTGGGGTCACATGCGATGCTGTGAAAAGTGGGGGAAACAAATTCCACCTCTGAGAATAACAAGAGCCTGCTCTGCATGCTCAATGCCCCACCATGTGGGAAGCCCAGGCAGAGAGAGCTGCAAGCAGGAAGCCTGACACTGGAAAGCAAAGTAGGACATCCTTGGAAAGTAGGAGGAATTGCTCAGGGAAGGAGCAAATCTGAAGGCTGAGTGTCAGAAACAGAAAAGGAGACTATTTCCCTAGGAATCCAGAAGAGAGCAGTAAGAATGTACCAACACCCCTAAAAGCTGCTGGAGTACTAAACAAGGCTGGAAGAAAGAAGCTGCCCTATGAAAACACAAAGGGCCAGGCCTCACTTATTTTCAGATCTTTTAAATTTACATGTGTCAGATCCAGCAGAACTGAGTCCTCTCTGTAGACAGTCATATTGCTCTATGTTTATGCTCTAATACAACTTTACTGTAGGAAACAGAACCCTTTTGTATCTTCTAATGAAAACATTCTCCTTTCAGGAAAAGGTGGAACTACACCACCTCAAAGTCCTGGCAACCTTAAGATCCCACCACAATGAGCAACATGTTTGAAGAACCTCTGCTTTCTAGACCTGTATTTCATTTGGCATTTTAGTGACCTGAGCAGCACAGAGACATTTCATGCCGAGACGTAATTTATAGTATAGTGTCAAACACACATAATCAAATGTATCCCAAAAGAAGACACGAAAATGTGTAGCTTATAAAAAAATTCATGAATAGTGAAATATAGAGAAGTCAGAACAGATACACTGACAAAATACTTGCACGATGTGCAGCAAGTGATAGAGGAAATTATTCTCCCAGCTAGAACAGCTTTCTAAAAGACTTTCTACATCAATTTTCTCCTCCCCTGTAATTCTTTCCTTTCTGCTCAAATCACATTAAAGGTTATGATGCTAATATAAAATGCCTAACACAACGTACCAAAAATACAAGCGAACATCTTTCTTGAAGGACAAGCTTCACACTATCATAACTGTAAAGTGCAAGCAGTAACTCCAGTATCTCTTCGATGTTAAATGGGGGAAAGGGTTTCTCTAGTGGGGTACAGGGACAGAAGAATAGTCTGATATTAAGAAAAGATGGGATTGCATCTTGAAGTGGAGGTACTAACTGATGCTAGTATGAAGTGTGTGTGAAACTACTATTCAAGTTGTCTGTTCTCTTGCGTGAAGAAAGATCACCAGCTCAATCTCTCAGCTAATAAGGAGGGTGGATCTGCACTGTCTTTTACTCCTCCCTCCATATACAAACTCTGCCACTTTCCAGTTTTCCACGCTTGGAAACTCTCTTCGCAGCTTAGCTATTGGTGCGTGTCCAAGTCCCACCATTGGGAATAATCTAAAATCTAAATAAGTTAAAATATACATCCTCACAGGCAGAAATGCTCAAGAAGCTCAACAAGGATAAGTATTGTGGGGTTTACCTGTCATCTATGTGCAACTAATCTCTCACAGATTCATACATCTTTTATTTACCACACGAAGTTCTCAGGCAATGAAATAATATAAGAGTTATGTCCCACAGGATCTTGCCAAGTTGTGAATACATTGGAGTAAATATATCAGGCATGCTATCCAAATTCAGCATCTGTTCTTCGGTTAGGCAAAAAAACCACCAACCACCCAAAACAAAACTCAAAATGGATTCAGAAGCCAACGTGAAACAAAGACAGGCTGTTCTATTTCAAACTTGCAAACAGTGCTGCTGCATTCCTCTAACCCCGTGCAGAAAGGGCTGCTAAAATCAGGGAACTGCAAGGCAAAGGTAACGTGCATTCTACAAAATACAATGCTATCTGATTTTTAGGCACTTTTTAATGTTAAACTTGGTATTATTAAAGGCATAAATGTTAAGATAGGCTGCTAAAAAAAGCCATGGAAAAGGAAGAGGCCACATTATTTATCCTGGTATTGACTGTCATCTGTCTATTCATTACAAAATTGCCAGCTGCAGGCTCCACTGACTTCCAGTTTGGATTTGAGACAGAAATTCAGTTTCTTTGTGCATGAAGGGAAGTTCATACACTTTGTAACTCTCAATTCTTAGAGCACTGACTGAATTTTGAAAAATAAACAGAACCATTAATTTATGGGCCAAAGTGAACCGAAATCTGAAGCGTGAGCTGATAAAGCTCTGACAAACCTATGGTAGGTAGACTGAAATCAGGATAGTTGAGGAAGTTTCTAAACCCAGCTATCTAATCTGCCCTTGCAGCAGCGATAGGCAGTCTTTCCTTGTTAATCAGCCCCTAAAATGCTTGTTTTCAGTCTTGTAAGGATCAAAGTAAGAATGTTCCTCTTTGCAGTGGGCTGACATATATAATACATCTATTTCCTTCACAAAATCTCGTATCAAAGACAAATATCATAGTGGCTACATTCAACTGAACAGAAAGCTGATGTCTCCAAATTTTCTAGTCCCTTTTCTCCCTGTAAGGTTTTGGATGGATTCTAAGGACTTTGACAAACTTGCAACAACCGACTATAGTTGTACAGCCCAGGGGGTAACTACCAAATTGCCCGTTGCGTTCTTTTGATTGGTATTAAGTCTCGCAGGGCAAGGATGGCTGCATTGAGTATCAAACAGATCCCGGGCTACTGAATAAGCTCACCACAGTAAGGATTCTGGCCAGAGCAAAAGTACTAGGGAGTGCACTTAAAACTGACCTTGTCTAATGCCACTGATAAACACTAGGGCAGCAAAAATAGGAAAACACTAATCTGCAGAAAAATACAGAGATACACTCCCCAAATCAGGAAGGAGGAGAAAAAAAAGAAAAAAGAAAAAAAAAAAAAGAAAAAAGGTAGAACATACTTTAAAGAAACTTTAAAAATGGAATAACAGAATTACAATAATGGAAAACGTTACAAAGCAAAGGTTACAAACTCTGCAAAGCCAAAATACTTATCTACTGAATACCAAACAGGTACAGACTAACACATCCAAATCCTTCTCCCAGTCACAGGATGACTGGGCAGTCAAGTGACGCAGCTATGAAAAAGGCCATTGCTGAAACTATTAAGTAAAATATCCCAGTAGCTAAACAATACATGAATGCACCATGAAATACTATTTTTGGAATATGAGTGCACATGTTCAAGTAAGGTTAACTCAAACTGGAACATAAGAAATCATAGCAACGAGATGTCATGTGCAGTCAGTACACCAAGCCTATGTGTTTTGCCTAAAAAACCCCAAATGACTATAAGATATTAGGATTCTCCTTAAAAATACTGTAAGTTTCTCTCTATCAGAGAGAGAAAGGAACTACTTAACATAAATGCTGCGTTAGCAAAAGAACAAATGAGTGTGAAACGGCAACAAACAAATTCAGACTGAAAGCTAGAAGACAAAGTAATGCTCTTCTACTTCACCACCAGTGTTCCACTCCAGGCTCTTCTAGAGGTGCAGTGCCATTCTCAAACCACTTTCCAGCCCAAACGGTCACCTGTGAAACCTACACTAGTTTTCAGACAGAGCTTGATCACTTTATGCAAAACATGATACGGCAAGAGTGTCTGCAACAGAGGCGAGCAGGACTCAATAGTCCAGAAAATTCCTTCTAGTCCTATGTTCCTTCTTATAGATAAGCCACTCAACAGAACGCAAGTATTGTTTGGAGGTGAACTGCATACACACACAAAAAACCCTACAAAAATCAAATAAATATGCATGTACAAGTAGTTTCTAAATAGACTAAATTCTGCATACAGAAATACTTTCAGAACAGATATTTCACAATAGCAAGGTTTAGTCTGCAGTACTGACAACTCATTATGTACTGCATGGTAAAATTTGGTTTTGTCCAAGAATTGCATACATTTATTTGTTATACTATTCTCAGAGGCTGAGCCTACTTGGAAAAATGTCAGTCAGAATAAACCACAAATAAACAGAAATTCATTGGTCTAGACAAACATTTCAGATTACGCTCTAAATGTTGCGGCCACTGTCCATTTATATTTTCTCATGAGCTCACAACAAAAATTTTAAGCAGTATGGCCTTATATATTCTGCATGCAAAAATATTTCTCCTTTAACAGACTGCAAGTATGAAAGTTGAAGGATGGATTACCTGAAAAATAGGTCTTCACTGTCCTATCCTGCAGGCAAACAAAATGCTGCCACGGAAGAATGGACAGTGCTATTCCTTCACACCATCTCCAGCGTTGTGCCTCCGGCTGACTCAGCCTCCATTCACTCTTCACATACACCCTCCAAGTTTCCATGCTCCTGTCCTCCTCAGAGGTTCTACTTTGTCCTCCCTGTCTTCACTCTTACCAACATTTTCCTTCCTAAACATCCCAGAATGCAATAACCATTCTAGGTTTTCCTCTCTTGCATCTCCAGATTTTCTAAGCTGCTTTCCAAATACGTCTGGCTATCTCACACCTTGAGATATGGACTTCCCAGCTTTTTCAGTTTCTGAGCATTTATCTATCCTTCTGCCAAATACTTCTTTGGCTTTTGATTGATTCCGCTCCTATTTTAAGACACCAGCCTCTATTACTTTCATATTAAAGCAATACTGCAAGTACAGGAAGAAGATAGTTCTGTTTGTACAAGTAATTTTATGCTACATTATTTGTATGATGACAGTATATTGGAAATTACTTATGCAATCTTAAGCAACAGATTTGTTGTATATTATACAGTGGTTTAAAACAACCTGAAAGAAGATGCAATTTATTTTAAAACATGATGGAGACAAAAGATGCATTGAACAACAGGACGAACTTAAAGAAAAACTTAAGAGTGCCATATTAAATAAAAAATAATAAAAAAACCCCCACACGGCAACATGTCCACAGCATGTTCCTGCGTGTTACTGAAACCCTTTTCTCCTTTGCAGAATCCAGCATTAGATGCAACTGTTTACATGTTACATGCCTTATGTACCATGCATATTTTTAAATTGTGAAACAAGTTACAACTACAGACAACATCATGGTATACCTTGTCATCAGGCAGCACATGCCAGATAGATACAGTCTTCTCCTCAGCTTCACTGTTGATGGAGAGATATGAGGGCTGATAGATTTTTGTTGGTTCCAATATTAAAACCTTGTAGAAAAAAAATAATTTTTAAGAGTTAGTACAAAATATGTAGAACTTTAAAAAGTATTAAAACCTGTTAAAACTATTTCTGTAGTCATACTATAGCATGAAAAACATGGGAAACAGAATGAAAGGTAAAATTTTAGGTACTGTCCTAGTTTAGTATGGCTGACAGTAACTTAAGATTAAAAAAAAAAAAGCCATTTTACATTTATTTTTTTATATAAGACTACTATGTGTCAATTGGTGGCACATGTCATATTTTTCCAAACAATTTCTCTGCCAACTATCAGACTTTGAAACCTGTCACAAATCATTGTCTTGCAATGCCATTCAAGAACATCCATCTCCCGTGTGGACAGGATTGATGGTCTACCTTTATCACCCCTTTGAAGTGCATTTGGGTAAATGAGAAAAACACAACAACTTAGAGCTAGACTGAACTGGTTTTGATTTAGACCACTGTGAACTGTAGCCACCAGATCAAAGGATTTTCTCAAAAGCAACAAGCACCACTCGGAAAAGATTAGAGAAAATTTCCTAGAATAAGTGAAACAAAACCTAGAAACATCATGTAAAAAAAAGATGGGATGCAACACAGCAAGATTTAGTCAAACATAACCACCTAGTAAATGAAGCCAGCCACTCTGCCGCTTTAACAATGTTCTGCCAGAATTACTTCCAGATCTTTAAAGCTTCCAGAATGCTTTAAAGGAAAAAGTCAACAAAGTTTGCTATTTGAACAAGTGTGGTTTCTCATTAGAAATGTTTATTTGTTTTAGATTTTCAGTGGTTAAAATCCGTCTAAAACACCAAATCCATATTGCCTGTGTTGAAGGTGTTCTCATTCTTCAGAATGTAAAGTATTGGTTATTAATTCAAGAAAAAGCTACTCTCTTCCACTGCAGCATACATAGGAAGATTTCAAGCCCTCAGTGTTTAGCTGAAAGACATTTATAAATGTCTAAAGGACTAAGTTAAAGATGGTTAACAAACTGACAATCTCCTTCCTTTCTTTTGCCCTTCGCTCTCCCATAAAAGCTCCAATCAAACATCACCTTCAAAACACCCAAAGATAAAGAATTTCTCATTTCAAAAATTTTGGAGTTCAAAGAATTGCTTTCAGAAATAATGACTGAGGCAACTTGGTCTACATCTTTTTTTTTTAAAAAAACCCCATATATAAACACATAAACAGAATGCCTTGGAAAGAGCCATGGCTTAGAGTCAAACCTAAGCCATGCCACCTCCTACAGAGTCAATAGGCACATCTGATGTACAAATGAGGTACTTTGAGGAGCACCTAGGCACTTAACTCTGGTCATCATTTACAGTAAAGTCCTCATGTTCAAGCTCTGAGAACAATTCACAAGGAAATCTGCAAAAAACTTCTTTTGGAATAAATTATTTGCAAGAATCTGAGAGAAGGGAGGAAAAAGAAAGTTACTATGTTTCATTTTGTTGACTTGTTGAACAGTGTGATTTTCCTTCTGAATTTTTGTATTATGAGAGATCACGTATGTCGGTCTGCAACACCAGAATAGTCTCCTGAACAACAGAATCAATCTTTGTGGTCACTGGGTTTATCTTTTGGCTCATGCTATTGCAATGATCAGTTTTGGTTTGTCTCTTAATATTAATAAAAATCCAAATCATTTGACTTGGACAGTTTTGTAAGTCAGAGCCTATTTTAAGTATCTAATTGCGCCATTTCATCATCAAAAAATCTAAAAAGAACGTGATCTTGTCTTTTACAAAAAACAGAGGATTCAAAATACTTTTTGCTTCCTTGCAAAACTTTACACCCGGAGAACCAGACTCCCTAGAGAGTCTCACGTCGCTTTTACTTTACTGCCTCAAGCTGTTGCTGTTCAACACCAGAGTCTTCCTTATGGTTTATTATCCCAGCTACACATGGAAGCCAAAAGAACTGTAGAAAACAACCAGTAGGCACTTCAACTATCTGGGAGGCAATAGAATTGCTATTTAAAACAAAAAGCTGTATTTGCTTATGGTTAGCTAGAAGGAATACACAAGACATTATTTCCCGTACATACACAGTTAATATGTACAGGGAACAAAGATCTTTTTACAGTATTCTTTTGGGACATTGTACAAAACCAGGGTATCCAGTCAAAATTTGCAGCAAAACATTTGTGGAAGAAATCAGAAAAGTATGTATATACTTATAGTACAATGTTGTTGAAATACATTGTCTAGTAGCTGGAACAATAGATTTCTGACTGTTTAGGCTGATTTTTAACCTCTAACTGAGCACAGACTTAATTTGCTCTACGGTATGCAAAGCCTGCTGAGCTAGAAAGAGACTGAAATTAAATATCCTTTCTTCAAAACATAATACAGTCAATATAGTATCACCTGGAATACACTGCAAAGGTTTGCTTTAGAAGTATACCCATTGGTAGCAAACACTGAATAGCAAAGTCAGTATCTTGACTTTTTCCTCATTACTTTCATATGGAACACACTACTTTCATATTGTAGCCACGTCCAATCAATTAAAACCAACCTAATATGCGGGCCAAATACACTTCTTCTGGACAAGCAGTTCATTGTCTGGCAATCTATAAACAAGCGGTGCTTTGTGTTCACTTCCTTCATGTCACAATTTATTAACAAAAAAACCCAAACAAGCCCAAATAGCAGAACAACCACTTACTGGAAATCGAACTACAGACACATCTGTCTTTGTGGCTTCAACAAGGAAGTCCATCCAGAAGTCCACCAGTTCCTGTTTGGCCGTATGTTGTTCTGGAGTCAGTTTCTTAAAATGCTGATATATCAAAATAGTCTCTACAATAGACTTCAGGTACCTGTGATCATCCAAGCATACACAGATAGTAAATTTAATACAGTTTGTAAATAACAATTTCTCTACCTTTAATCACAACTGAAGCATTCACCACTGCAATACCAAGGCAGCCAGTAAGATTTTGGTTCTCCAGGACTGCTTTGGATAATAGCAATTCCCCATTTAGAACTGAAAATGTAGCTGCTATATTAGTAACCTGATTAATTCTGGGACATTCCTTCCTGCATATATTCCTGATGCCATATACTGTCTCCTATCCTAAACCATGAAAGCTTCCTGAAATAGCTAAATCTTCCACCTATGGGCCAAACTGAGCCCATGGCAAACTTGTTTCAGTAGTGACCAACCTCAAATAAAAACTCAGGTGAAAAATCCACTAGTTTAACTTTCTACACTGTTCTGTCTTCTGCATTGTATCTGCACTGGCAGTTGTTTGACCCGGATTTCTAAAACATGACACTTCTGGAATTGATTCTCCTATAAAGACGACAACAGCTATGCTAAGCAGTCTTTTGGCATTGCTAGGGAAGGAGAGGAACAGCGCTGAATGCCTCCCCTAAATGCAGCTCATCCCTCTCTCTGCTCTTCTCCTTTCTAGGGCTCCTCATAACACTCCTTTCTCTTGGCATTTTTGAAAAACAGTTGTACATGTAATCTTATGCAATTTTTATGAATACTACAGCAATGATAAACGTGCTTAAAAAGGATTTATCATACCTATCATCTTATTGCAATTAGACTATTCATGGAAACTTTGTTCCAGGCTTATGACAAGAAGGTATAATGTAAACTCAGAGGGCCTTTTGGGAATGGTTCCATAGCTGTGCGTTTTCCAATCATCCTTCTTAGGCCATGAGGATATCCGGCTTAAAGTACCGTATCTTCTCCCCTTTGCACCAGGTGGGCCCTGCTGCACAGCACGCAACAGACTGGGAAGGAATTGCTCACAGGAAAAATCCTTCCTGAAGCACAAATGAATGTACTGTATTTTCAGAGTTTAATCCACAGACTTAAATCCCGAAGGCACTGGTACATAAAATCTCGACAACCAGGCATTGATAGACTCCAGAAAACTCTACCAGGACACTTCCAGAGAGTGCTATCCAGCTTCTCAGTAAAACATGCACATAGTAAAAATGGAAAACCTTGCAGATAAATACACTGTAAACAGCATTTATAAAATATTTGGTTAGAAAATTAGAGTTCTTAATTTTGACAGTTTCCTATGTTATGTCAATATAGAAGTTTTAGCACTTCCATATTTTAGCACAGATACATACATTCCCTTCTGTCCTGGTTTCAGCTGGGATAGAGTTAATTTTCCTTCTAGTAGCTGGTATAGTGCTGTGTTTTGGATTTAGGATGAGAATAATGTTGATAACACACTGATGTTTTCAGCTGTTGCTAGGTAGTTGTAGTGTCTACACTAAGTCAAGGACTTTTCAGCTTCTCACGCCCTGCCAGGTGCAGAAGAAGCTGGGAAAGCACAACCAGGACAGCTGACCCAGGGTGGCCAAAGGGATATTCCCTACCATAGAATGTCATGCTCTGGATAGAACTGGGGAGAAGCTCGCTGGGAGGTGGGATCACTGCTCAGAAACAGGCTGGGTATATGGATCTTTTTTTTTTTGGCCTTTCCACACATGGTGAGCAATTGCATTTGTGCATCACTTGTTTTATATATTAATATTATTATTCTCTTCCTTTGTTATCCTATTAAACTGTCTTTATCTCAAGCCATGGGTCTTCTTCCATTCTCCTTCCCATCCCCTTGCAGGGGGAGGGGTGAGCGAGTGGCTGCGTAGTGCTTAGTTACCGGCTGGGGTTATACCACTGCACCCTCTGATCAGCTTTTAGAGACACTTTCTAGCCTTTAAAGGAAGACAAAAATACATAGGCTGTGACATAAGCACTCTTTCAATTGGCAGTGATGACTTTTTTAGTCAGAAAGGAGTCTTAGTTCTCCCCAGCTAACAGGATCCCAGTAGGCGACTGGTTCTTACTTTGCTGCCTATTTCCAAAGCAGGACAGGTGCCAGGAGCCTGCTGTCAGAGCACACCTCTCTTGACCTTTGCATAACAGATCTTGAGTCTACAGGGCTGTCTTTAACCCTAGATTTATAACCTTTCATAACCAGACTTTAATCTGCATTCTTCTCAATCATAATGAGATCCAACTTGCACCGTCATAGCTCACTCGTGTTCAAGTTCCTAAAACAGCTGGTATGTGCAATAACCATCGCAGTATTCCAAGGTATATCCGTGCCTCTCTAGCCAAGCTCTCCGCATTTCCAAAACCTTTCAGGCAGTTATGACTAAAGCCATGTGCCACTACCACTTCAGCAATGTAACGACTCAGGTACGGTGCCTACGCACAATTCCTCCTTTCCCCCCTGGCCCTCAGAAGAACCTGGAGCCAATGGTGAATCTGCCCTTCTCAGACACCAAATTAAAGACCCAAATCACATCTTTTCCTGAATAAGGGCAAAAGAGGAAGAGAGTCCCTTTTCTGGGTAAAAGTGCGGTGAAACAATACACAGTAAAATCTGTTAAAAAAACCAAAACCAATCTCCTGTCAGCTAAATATGATGCTGAATGTGAAAGCTGAAGGAGTCCAATGTTTTAATACATAGCAATGTACATGATCTCGTTTATCACCTTACCATGCTGGTGCCTTTAGTTTAAACAGCTTTTCTGAAGCCTGGATCACTCTTATATGGTCATTAGCCAACATACTGGCCCCCAAGAAAGATCCCACTTCCCAATAGCTCTGCAGTTTCTCCAAGCTCCCCTTTTTACCAAGCAGGCTGCTGATCTTTACTCCTGTAGTAAAAAGAATAACAGGTGACAAGAATGTATTAATGTAGTTTTAAAATAACCATTTCCCTGATTTGAAATCTATTAATTACTTAAATTACTGTAGCCTCTCCATTTCAATGAAGTAAGACAGAAATCATACTTACCGTTTAATGTTATATGCCTTCCAAACACCCTAAGCGGTAGCAGATTGTTTTTCCCTCCCCCTCTTCCTAAAGACTTCTCAAGAAAGGAACTTTAAGACATCACTGTCAGGACAAGGCCACAGTCAGATTACCTACGTTCTTGCATGGACCTCATCTGTAAAGGTAAATTGGGGTCTTAGGCTACACAACACAGCTGTAAAAACTTAACAGATGCTGAATAAGGCACCTATTATGTTTTTTTCTGCTTTGTTTTTTTGACTTACAAGCCCCAAGCCCCAAACTTACCTTTCTAGACAAGGTCCCATGCAGAAGGAACAGATGATCCACTGGGCTTCTTCCAGCAGTGATGTTCTTTTAATTGCCGCAAGTCCTACCCCAATGAAAGACATCTATTAATATTCATAAGTCCCTCAGCAACTCAAGACTATGGAGAGCCTCAGGTTTTATTTTGACTTGCTAAGTTTTCTGAGGACTACAAGTTTTTCTGTGGCCTTCAGGATGATTTTTAGTTCATCTGAGCTGCTACGTATTTATAGCTAACATGAGATATGCTACACCATTCCCTGCAAATAAAACAATTTGCAGCTTACAAGACAAGCCTCTTCACCACCGTAGTCTTTTATTCACTTTTCCCACACTACTCCACTATGACGGTTTCCCTCCCACATCACCTTCCATTGTCCTTGATATTCAGGCTGAGTATTCACAAGAAATTTCAATGCAACTGTTGATCTTTGTTTTTTCTTTAACCATCCTTAAGTAGCCTGCAGGCTAAACTTTATGCTACAAGCTGCAACACATCTTATCAAAATGGATATCATTGCATTAGCTACATTTCAGTCTACAAAATTCATCTTGTTTTCTCGCATTGTTCACATTTTTATGTTATCAACATCAGACAATAAATGTTTTTAAAATGTGAAATTGTATCCACGTGGTCTATAGACTATTTCATGTCTGTATTTCACACTTTGTGCTCTCTTGCTAAGAAGAAATTGTCATGCTTGAGAAACATACAGAACAAAATAATATCATTAAAAACATTATTTGTTCGCTTCTTAGGAAAGAAATTTGTTTAGTTATTCCTGAAGAGAAAAAAATGCAATGGATTTTACAAAATATCTCAGATCTACCCAAGACGATGCAACATACATCACCTCCACAATGTACAGCAGTGACCATCTCTCCAGGGTACTATATACATGGATGTTTTCAAGAGACTACTTGAGGATGTACACCAACACTTGTCGGTGCAGGATAAGAAGAGGGGAATTTGTGTTAAATGTGTTCAACTTCTATTGGATTCTAGAAAGCAAAACCTACATGCTACCCGCACAACACACTAAACAGAAAACATTCATCTCCCCCAGGACCCCACAGTAACACTACTCAGCAATAGCCTCAAAGGCCGAAGGGCTCTGCTAGAACGTCTAAAACATTTGCATGCACATGACAGCAACATACAAGAGCAGATAGACACCTACTAACTTCCATAGGCTTTGAATGTGACCTCATCACAAGGGAAGTAAGGAATTGGTATCACAGGGGTAACGAATAATTTCTGACGGGTACACCTCTGCTGGGAGGAAGAGGAAAGGGAGCAATTCAGCTGTGCAGAGGGTCTGTGCTGAGTCCTGGGCAATGGCACGCACAGTTGCAGTGACCACTGAGAAGCCATCACAAGCTATTTGTCACAGCGAGCAGCTGCACTGGTGTCTGGTTCACAGGCTTACACACTCTGCCATGCTTCATTGCACCTGCGGGAACCTACCCATCGCCACCCTCCAGTGCTCCAGACATGGGAACAGAGCGAAAGCAAAGTACGAACTGAGTGCGTGGTTTTGTCAAAAAATACAACTCCTATGGGGACTGGGATTGCTGGCACAGCATGGCAGGGAGAAGTGTCTCTTAGGTGGGTAAGACTGATGATGGCAAGGAGTCCCACCTCAGGGAATAAGGGAGAGCTATAGGAAGATGGTGGGAGAAAGGATGGATGTGTAGCAGCAATGATATTTGGGAATCGTTACTGTTACGTAGCCTGGATGAACTCGAAGTTTTACCCAAGCATTCTGTGAAGTGGATCTTACTACCTTAAAGGCGGCAACATCAGCCTCTCATCAAATTCTTTTGAGAAAGATGAGGTACTCTATGAAAACTCACTCTAGTTCGATGACCTTCCTTTACAAAGCTCATCTACAAACCTACTTGCCTGAAAGTAGGCAAGTTGGCAAAATGCAGTTGCAGTGTGGAGACATTAGCAATAGGTTCAAAATACTATAACTCTAATTTAAAGAGGTAGGGTTTGTTTTGGTTTGTTTTCCAGTGGGTTTGGTCTTTTTTGGGGAGTGGGGGAACAAAAACAGCTTTCTATGCAAACATGCAAAGTGAACACCTTCATGAACTTCACTCTGAGTTTGTGGTCTCCTTCCATAATTTCTCATCTCTAGTTTATTTTGATTTCACCATCTTTAAGTTTTTCAGAGTATAAGAAAATCCAGGCAAAGTCAAAACATTCTCTCTTTCCATGATAAACTTGGCATTCACAGGGGGAGAAAAAAAAAGCAGCAGCTGAATTCCAGTATATTTCATCAAAAATATTTTGCCTTAAAAATAAATGAGCCAAAATAGAGGAACCATTAATGCCAGAAAAGTCATTGTTTTTATAATGCCAAGAATATACCCACAGCTTGTGAAGAAAATAAGATACAGTAAGTAGATATTACCAGTTAAATATTACTATGAAGGCTTCATAAACTGCTTTCCTTGCTCAAATATTGACAGAACAATTCATATTACAAGATCCTTTGTGTGTCTCAGTTGCGCAGCCTGCAGAGATCACTATTGTCAATGCAAAGTGCTGCATTTCTGGTTTGGTCTCAAAATGATTTCTGCAATTTTGTACAGTTAAGAAAGCAATACTATTCAGAAAATAGAAGGAGGATTTTCATTAACGCTTCACATGATCATTTAGTTGTGAACTGTTATCTGACAAGTAGAGGTAGGAACTTTTAGAAGGCAAATTTTTTGATCTGATGCAGATTGTTAAAAATTCTCTTGGATACTGGACTTAGTTCTGCTGGAGTTACTACATTTTTGCCAATGTAATCAGACATGCATCTTCTAATTATAGCCTCATGCACCCTCTGAAGTGCTGTTAGGGACCGTATCCTTCCTTAGCCTTTCCCAACCTACCAATATAATTTCTCTATAACCTGGACTGAACTTCAACCAGCTTGCTCTCGCCGCTCATCATCTCCCACCAGAAAACAGACTCCCCCTAATTTCTATGTGTTTCAGGTAATGCTGTGGGTGGACAGCAAACTGAAAGCACTGCCATGCAAATCTAACTACTGCTAACGAATGGTCCTGTACACACAGAGCTAAAAAGAGGTGACATCAAAGAATGGCACACATGTAAGAGATTCTTGGGACAGGAAAAAAATCAACACAATTTTCCCACACAACCTTTGTGGGTTTGCTTATTTTTGTTTAAAACACTCACCTTAGCCCAAGACAAAGAAAATACTAAATTATCCTCAGAATCTAGCCCAACACAAGCCAGCTGACAAACTTCATTGTACAAAGACAAACATAAGGTCTTGCACCTGGGAAAACATAATCCAGGAGTGCAGCACAGGCTGGGATCTACCTGGCTGGAGAGCAGCTCTGTGGAAATGGACCTAGAGGTCCCAGTGGGCAACAAGCTCAATATGAGTGACTAGGGTGCTGCAGCGGCAAAGAAAGCCAACAGGATGCCGGGCTGCACCAGCAAGAGCATCACCAGTGGAGATAAAGAAGTCATTGTCCCACTCTACTCAGTGCTGGTCAGGCCACACCTGGAATACTGGATTCAGTTTTGGTCCTTGCCCTACAAAAAAAAATGTGGACAGGCTGGAGAGGGTCCAGAGATCAGGCCAGCTAGATGATCAAAGGACTGGGAAGCCTGCCGTATGAGGAAAAGCTGAGAGAATTGGGTTTGTTCAGCCTAACAGAGAAAAGAGGAGCTTAGGGGAGACCTCATCACCATGTTCCAGTACTTAAAGGGTGTCTACAGAGAAGATGGAGACTTCCTTTTTTACAAGGAGTCACATGGAAAAGAGGAGGGGTAAGGGGCGCAAGTTACTCCTGGGGAGATTCTGATTGGACGCAAGAGGAAAATTTTTCACACTGAGAACAATCAGCCTTTGGAATAATGTCCCCAGGGAAGTGGTCAATTCCCCAACATTGGACACTTCTAAGATTCAGCTGGACGGGGTGCTGGGCCATCTTGTCTAGACTGTGCTTTTGCCATGAAAGGTTGGACCAGATGATCCTTGAGGTCCCTTTCCAACCTGGTATTCTATGATTCTATAAACAGTGACCACAGTCTTATCAATAAGAAATCAATGACCAATGACACACATAGAGTCTATATAATATAAGTATTTGAAAACTTGCTTCAAAATAGGTAAGTCAGTCTGAGGCTTAAAGTATTTTGACAATATTTCCCATAACAAAATAAAAAGACAGACACTACTAGATAACAAGAGAGGTTGGTGTATCAAGGGTTTTCGGCAGACATTAAGCAAATATTTACATGAGAGAGGCACACCAACAGCTCAAATAAAACCCTTTCCACCAAATAGCTACTGGATATTTCTCCACTAAAACATTCATCAGCTGTGGATAGAACCTGAAGTAATAAGGAACCTTAATTTCTGTAACATTCTCCATATAAACAAAAGGGAAAACAACACTGGAAAAACTCAGGAGAAGATGATACCAAACATCTTAATTTGTCCAAATCTAGTTGGCTTGGCTGTAGCCTGTGTATAGTTGAAAGGTTTCTTTAAAATGGAAGGATTCAAATTAAACTACACAATAAACATAGCCCAGCTTTGCTTAACTATCTGATTTAAAATTAGGCCAGCTGAGTGAATATTTGCAAATGCTATGTAGAAAGCAAAACATATATTTTTACCTCCTACACTGGCACAAGAATTCAAATTTCTGTGTAGGAGATGAAAGTATTCTATCCGACCCAAAAAGCAAAATCTCACCCACTCACAGAAGGGCAAACACAGTAGTTGGGGCAGCTCTACACAGCCTATCACATCCAAATGGATATCTTCATTCACACCAGAGAATTTCAATTTCACTGCCATTATCTATGTGAAAGTAACCATCTCACTGTGACCTTCACACTCAAAAAAACTTCTCTATATAGAGAATTACTCCCAGAGATACTGTGTAGATCTAACTTCTAAACCAGAGCAGTGGCTAATTACAGATACATTCTGTGAAGAACATTGTTTCTTTCTCACTTGACAACCTCCTCAGGAGACAAAATGATAAAAAAAGACTTTACAGTCAGTCAAGAATTATACCAATTCATAGAGAAGATTGCCAGTTGCAAAGGATATGCTATTACATATTACAACATTCAGTGCTTTCTCCTATACCTTCCCTGAAAGTATTACTGACTAATCTTGACTTTGCACTCTCCTCAAATCCAGCAAAATCACAAACAAAATGACAAACAAAGCGGACACCTTAATTCTTCCTTCTTAAGCAAGAATTTTTTTACGACGAGGGTGGTAAGACATTGGACCAGGTTGCCCAGGGAAGTTGTGAATGCCCCATCTCTGGAAGTGTTCAAGATCAGGTTGAGCAACCTGATATAGTGAAAGATGTCCTTGCCCATGGCAGGGGGGTTGGACTAGATGGTCTTTAAAAGGTCCCTTCCAACCCAAAACACTCTGTGATTCTCTAATTCTATGAATACAGACATTCAGGAAAGCTCAAAGAAAGCATCAGAAGAGAAACATTCTTCTCTCAGCCCATTCCACATTCAAGTCAAGTGCATTTTCCCCACTCTTAAGATGGACTTTTTGTTCACGTTCCCTACAGTTCTACAGGAATTTTTGTTTATTTGTTTTAAAGAATGGTAGCTGGAACCAGATTCCCCCTTCAGGTGTTCCTGTTTCCACACAAATGATGCCATTGCAAAGAAGGGCTGTCAGTTTTCACTAAGCTCTGGTAATCAGTTAAGACCTTGAAACTGGAACCAGGTCTTCATGACAGTGCTCACTCGCAATCAGGTGCCATCAGTTGTGGTAGGGGAGACCAACTTATATATTCACATGCTCACTATCAAAGCATTTGTATACAACCATCAGGTTTTTCCCCCTGTGACAGTGGGTGGTTCATACTTTCACTAGAATGCGATTTCACTGTGAAGTTGCAAGCTATAATTACCAACTTTCCGCAGCTCAAAAGAAGTATCAAAGCAATGTCCAGCTGCCAGGAGGAGTACTGCATAATTAATTCCTGACTGTAATGTTGGCTCCGACTCAAACGCCTTCTTGTACCTAGAAAAAACAAACATACAAGTTTACTTTCTAAATAATGCGATTTAATAGGGACATAATTATACTTTTAGGTACTTTAAGTGCTTATCTTCTGTTTACACAGCAAGAATCCATGGAAGCAAAAACATTTTACTGTTTTCCACACAGCTTTGTGGTTATTTTTAGGAGTCCGTTATTTATACGTCCTCCTCCCATTTCCTTTCCCCTCACACAACAAGCATAGACCCTACTCATCCACCCCAGCAAAGTTATAGTATCTTACTGGATTTCCAATTTTCTTTGACATTAAAGAAAAAATAATACTATCAGCTTGGAAGACATGTGTTTCACAGTTGTATTTATTAATAAACACATTAATTTACTCTTAAATATATGACTTTTCACTGACTGGAAACCTAAGATTCGACTGTGGATTTGCTACAGTGACATACTAGCACATCAAAACGCCTAAGCACAAAAGCAAGTGATGCAAGAACACGTTTCACATTTAGCTATGATTTCAGCTACTGCAAATTTTATTCTTTATTGTGTGTCTCATTGACATTGTCCTTATGAGTATATTCACCTAAAAAAGGACTATATCACATTTTATTCTCCTTAAGAGGAAGTGAGTGAGCAAGAGAAAGGGCAGTGGTATTCCCCTAGCCCAAATATTGTCTTAAAAGAAGTCCAGGGGTTGCACACAAACACAGCACACACCATCCTCATGCTAGCAATGCAAGTTGTGGTGACAACAGTGACAGCAGATCTACGGTGCCTTAAACTTGTTCTACAGAATAAGAACATGTTTGGTTGCACATATATATACACACATATACACACACACCCCTCTGTAAGGAGGAGGCAAAGATGACTATCATATGTGAGTTAACGAGCACAGCAGATTCAGTTAGCACAACTCTGCTACAGTAAAAGCAACAGAGTTTAAAAGAATTTCAAAAGGATGGGAAAAATCCAGACAAACGAACGGATTATATAAAAAAAATTAAGCAGGTTTTAAGATTAATACATAAGGAAAGAAAGAAAAATAATCTATGCAAAAACTGAGGATTTGGCTTCCAGACCACACTTGTAAGCAAAACTAAAGCATTTTGACCCTGGCAGGTCAAAAATATGGTAGGTTTAAAAAATTTTTTATTTTTGTTTGTTGTTTTCCCTGCTCTAATGATTCAGGACTTCACATCCTTTAACGTAAGCTCTGCTTTGCAAAACTGCAAGACAGGGTCCTTTTCAATCTGCTACATATATACTCTTTCTGTACTCCAGCTGCCCACCTCCAAAGAACTTAATCATTACACAAGAGTCTAGTCCTCAAAAAAACCCATGATGAGCAGAGAAGTCTCAATTAATTTTCTTTCATTGTCTGCCTTTCCTCTTGTACTGAGTTACAACAGAACAACGAAGAAAGTACATACAAAACATTTTTGCTCACTTAAAAACCCAACCAAACCCACAACAAAAAACCAAACCCCATAAAAACCCAACAACCAAACAGGATGACACTCTCGTTGATTCTTAAACATATATAGCTAGAAGAGAACTGTTGGCTGGTATAATCTGTTGGAGACAGCAATGTTGGGAACTGGATTCCCTTTTTTGCCCTAAAGATCTTTCATGCTGCAATTCTCATGCAATATCAGGAGAAGGAGAGAGGAAAGATTGACAGAAGAACAAAAAAATCCTTGAAAATAAGTATTTTTGTTCCAATACAAGAGCCTCTGTACTTCCATTTTTTTGTTTTGCCCCAAAATGCCTCATTTCTGGCATGACTATCAAAATTTCTTTAGTTCTTGGACAGATACATACAAAACCTCAAAATTTAAAGATAAAACAAGCATCTTTCATGCATATCAACAGGTGGGTACATTTGTGCTGTAACCGATGTTAATCATACAGGCAAAGGAGGTGGACATGAGCTAAAGTTTGCAAAATAGTTACTGCTTGCAGAAGCATTGGTGAAACAGCCTGAAAAAAAACCTTTCTTAAATATGTTACCACAGAAGCACCACCAGCATTGCTGATGTGCTCAGTTTTGACCACTGATGAGCCCATTGGAGCTGGGTGGAACTGGCTGCGTCTGACATAGGGCAGCTCCTTGTCTCTCGTCAGAGGCCACCCCTGCCATGCTCTGCTGCCAGGACCTGGCCACCTACTCCCAGGAGACCAGAAGAAACATCCTGGGAATTTCTGTTCCTGGGTTCTGCCTTTTCTTTCCAAATTGCTTTCAAATCTCCCTTCCCCACAGCAGAAATTCATTCTTCCAGCCGTCTTTACATGCTACTCACACCAAGAAATACTAGTATCTTGGACCTCTGTAGTCCTATTTACCTCTCCTAAATCGTTACAACCAAAAGTATAATTTTATATTTGGTGCAATCCTGTGCCGACATTCTTAAACCTGCCTTATATCCACATAGCCTGGTCAGCAAAAATTTACAGACAACAAATTAAAATTTAAAAAAATAACCTGTAATAATTAATTTTGAACAAATGAAAATATTCACATTTTCCCAAACAACTCACAAGTCACATCTGTTGAAGTCATTTAAATTCAACTGGTGCAATTGCTGTACACTGTCATGCCCCAAGTATCACTGGAGGAATGTGTGCAGTATCCTAGAAAAGCGGTAAGGCTTAAAAGTCTGCCTACAAAGTAGAGGCTGGCTTAGCTGATGCAATTATAAATGCCATCAAGAAACTGGAAGGTGACATTTGGGAAAACATTGCACTGCAGACACTGAATTAGGGAGGTAGCAGTGAAAAGATTCTAATAAAGACTTGCTAGCTTTGCTAAGTCTGATTTACACTGTCACCATGCAACAAGAAAGTGACAGTTAATAATTAATCTTTCATCTCTTCTCTCATATTTATATGAAAGATGTCTTTTATTCTGCTTTTTAATTGTCAGGAAAGCACACTTTTTTTTTTTTTTAATAGACCAAAGTACCTTGCAAAACCAATGCTTTGGTTCTGCTGCCAAATTGTCATTATCTCATGCAATTCACTATACTTCTCCTACATCCTCATTTCTCTAAGACTGAGATAATAACCTTTCTCTCAACATAAAGTAACACAATCATGGAGGCATTGTTCCTGCACACATCTTCCCCCGTTGTGGCCTGCTGCAGCTCTAGAGTAGGTCTGCTCCTTCCCAAGAGCCTTCCACTGAGTTATGAGTCAACCCTTCAGCCACGTCAATCCTGCTGTATGACTAACACTAGAAGTCAAATCCATATCCAGCATAAAGCACAAACCAAAAGCAAGTGGCCCATCTGGTAGAGCTTCTGGCCAAAGTCCAGCTTGACTGAACAGAGATCGCCTTGCTCTACGGCAGTGGGCACGGTCTGCGTTGGGTCCTACTCGCCAAAGACTTCAAGGATTATTTAGGGGCTGGCCGGTCAGCATCCCACCTTGCTGCAGGAGCTGCCAGCCTTTCCCAAACTGGTATGCCTGTCTGCAATCACTTCCCCTCATCAAATATATGAATAGCATGATTGCTAAGATGCATCTATTAAACGTGTTAAAATGGCTGCATGAAATATCCTAGAAGTAACTAACACTATTATACATATAATCGTTCTGAGTTCAATTATATTTGAAAATCTCAAAGTTTACCTGTTCATAAGGCACTATGAAGGAGGAAAAAACAAGATGTACAATAGCAAAAGTAATTTCTATTTATTATATTTACCCTGTGATAATGCCTAGTACTTGTATATAGGACTAAGTTTTCTTTTTATATGAGTTCATGACATTAGCAAAATATTTTTTTAAAAACAGAATCTTGAAAAAGTTTGTTATGGACTTTGCCTTAGAGGCAAAAATTTTTCTTTAATCCAGAATTATGAAGGGGGGGGACAATGACAACACACTGCATTCCTGTTATTTCAACATCTTTACAAAATCCAGTAAGCATTGCAAAACTGTAAAGCATGACCAGCAATTATAAACTGTACTTGTATTCTGAGGCCATAAATGGTAAACAATTATATCTTATCTTTTACCAAAGACAGTTCTAATCTGAAGTTTACCGAAAACAAGAGATAAATGACAAAGCTTTCCATTCTAAGCATTTACTTCAACAGGCAGCTGATGAGCACAAGACCAGAACTAGGATCTGATGTGCAGGATACATAAACACAGATTGTTTGTTTCCTCATCTGAATCATAATGGAGAAAATAGAAATTTTGTATCAGGAATAGTGAGGCCAGCAGGACTAGGGAAGTGATCGTCCCCCTGTACTGGGCACTGGTAAGGCCACACCTCGAGTCCTGTGTTCAGTTTTGGGCCCCTCACTACCAGAAAGACATTGAGGTGCTGGAGTGTGTCCAGAGAAGGGCAACAAAGCTGGTGAAGGGTCTAGAGAACACGTCTCATGAGGAGCAGCTGAGGGAACTGGGGTTGTTTAGCCTGGAGAAAAGGAGACTGAGGGGAGACCTTATTGCTCTCTACAACTACCTGAAAGGAGGCTGTAGCCAGGTGGGTGTTGGTCTCTTCTCCCAAGTAACAAGTGATAGGACAAGAGGAAATGGCCTCAAGTTGCACCAGGGGAGGTTTAGATTGGATATTAGGAAAAATTTCTTCACTGGCTGTCAAGCATTGGAACAGACTGCCCAGGGAAGTGGTTGAGTCACCATCCGTGGAGGTATTTAAAAGATTTGTAGATGTGGTGCTTAGGGACATGGTTTCATTGTGGACTTGGCAGTGCTAGGTTAACAGTTGGGCTTGATGATCTTAAAGGTCTTTTCCAACCTAAATGATTCTATGATTCTAAAAGCAGCTCATCCTGCTAGGATGTCTAGGATGGTGTCCAGTGCCTCCATTTTTTAACCTCTTCCACATAACAGCGTTTTATTGCATTTCAAAAGCAATAAAAAAATTATACTTGCCTCTAAAATTAAGATAAGAATTCGTCTAACCTGTTGTGTGCTTCTTTGCCTATCAATGGTACTGTAGTCCACTGTAATATGCATATACTGTATGGTGATGATGGGATGATAAAACTTTTGTTAGCATGAGTTTGGAACAGTCATATTGCTTATGAGCACAGAAGCAAAAAAAAAAAAGACAGAATGATACATCCTAAGCATCAGTGCAGACTTAAACCTCAGCACCTTTAAGCCTAGTTAGCTAATATCTATCAGATTTCAGATATGCTAATTGATTCATGGCTGATTACTGTCTGGCCCAGATTCCTGAGAATAATGTAGTAAACAGGAGAGTTCACATTTGGGAAAAAGGAGGAAAATACACTCTGATGAGGGCTACCTAAACTTCCAACTCTCTAAGGCACTTCAAGAGCTTCGTGGAACCAGATCTGTGAGCAACATAAATCTCATTCTTAACAAATAAGCAAAGAAGATTAGAAGATTCAATGTATCCCTTAAGAATGCCAAATATTTGGAATGTAAAACTGTTGAAATATATTCTCATTTAAGGAATATTTTCCCAAAGCTAACAAAAGGACAGAGACCAGGAAAACAGTACTCACCAGAACGTCCCCTTGTCCCTGCTTTCTGTATCTATGAACCCAGATTCCAAAAACATGTCCTTGTAAATTCGACCAACCAGGCAGTACATATCTGAAGCTACTTGGTCTTCCTGTTCTACCAGGGGAATCATAATTTCTAGAGCTTTCTCTCTGTCTCCAGGCAGATTTCGCCTATTAAAAATAAAATTTTTTATTAAAAACCCAATAAAGTTAAGAAATACTTATACATTCAAACACGGTCATGAAAATGTATGACACCATCCATGTAAAATGTGCTTCTAGACACAAAGGACTATATTATATATACACACTTCCCCCCTTCTTTTTTTTTTTTCCTCTTTTCTTAATATCATGGGACACATTTATAAAATCCCCCAAACATGTTTTCTCTCTCTCATGATGCATCAGCCAGAGGACAGCACTGACAACAGCAACAAGACCCTCAAGAGCAATTCTTAGAAAGATCATGTGTTACTTTCTTACAAAACAGAAAGACAGGGATCTCCGTTTCATATCTAATATTTCTTTCATAGTAATTCATGCTTTAAAGGAAAAAAGATTCCATCTTGTGTTTGTGATTATTTTTTTACATACATTTTGAATGTGAAGCAAAAAAACCCTAAAACACACAGACTGAATTCCCATGATAAGGAAGGTTAGGAAGTGAAGCCAATAAGGTAATATTAACGAAAGTACTTCAGACAAATAAACCACATAATTGCAAGCGTTAGACACTTCCTGGTGACTCACAGTTTGGATACATACATCATTCAGTATCAGGAGTTTAGAATTTTTTATGTATTTGTATACTGAACAAGCAAATGACACCTTTCTCAGCAAAAAACTATTATTTGGTGGTTTGGGGAGAGCATTATATTCTTTTGGAGAAATTGCTTGTAATATTTGAGTGGCTACAATTTGAAATAGGGGGAGTACATAGAAGTGGGTTTGTATGTGTCTTGCAATCTTTGCACCTCAGAAAAAAAAACCCCACATCAAAAGTCACAGCCATCTTAAAGCAGATACTACTTGATTAGAGGTTCAGTAATGAATTTTTTTCTTCCCCCCCTACAAGAACATATCAAAGTTTTGGTGCATCTGCACAGGCAACGTCAATGCCAAGCCTGAGAAATCAGAGCACATGTACTCTAAGTGATACCTGAGCTCATGAGCTCTGAGCTCACGTATGCTGCTCCAGAAGGAAGCAATGTGGAAGAAAAGGTTTAAATCAAGCAGAATAGGTAACAGAGGACGAACGAGTACTTACATCATAACAAAGAGAGTTAAAAAAACAGAGCAAAAACACTTGTTTGAGCACACAGTATAAATTTCTTTCCTGAGCAAAAAAAAAAGTTTGCAAATCTACATGCTGGGCCAACCTATATTGATGTCTCAGCCTAATGAGAAAGACAAATGAAACCCAGTGCCATCTCTTCCCAAGCTTCAGACTAGTCGTATTCTAAGAAATTAAGAAAAGTCCCCTCAGACCACAGAGCTGCAGTAGGCTCCCCAAGGACTTCCAGAGTGGCACAGCAAGGCTGGTGTTCTCATTTGAGATCGACAAATGCTCCCAAGCTGAAGCCCCAGGGAGAGAAATCAAGTGGCTGAGCAAATAACAGTGTCCCTCAGGTCTGTGTTATTTTAGTTCCCCACTTGCCCAGTTGTTGAAGGTTTGCTTCCTTTTGGTTTCTCATACTGACCACTCAAGTAAAGCAACAACGATAAGTCTGCAGCTTATGTTTTTCAGCTGACTTTCATTACAGAAGGGCAATTTTCAGGTGAATAACTCTTCCACATCATGTATCAACTATCACTAATCCAGATCAAACCAATAACTAGCTGAACTTAATGAGAACAAAACCAGTAAGGCACAACAGTGTTTTGTAATATGAGCCATATACACTTTCCTGGTCTCCAAAGGTCCCTACTTTTCTTTCTGTTTACTCTTCCATCATCAATGCCCTCATACACTTTCTTGATTTAGGTCAGACTAATCCTGATTAATTGAGCTGCTCCATCCTTCCGTACTAGTGACCTGGATTAGAAGCAAGAAGGACAGCTTCTTCCACAGCAAACATTCAGATGTGCAGAGTATTCCAGATCTGCCATCGCTCAGGAAACATCGTCAATGTTCCCCATAAGGAGAAAGCTACAATTAACCCAAGCAGTTCCTTCTTGGCATACACCAAAGCATGAACATTATCATGGCTGTCATGGATTCCAGTTGAATGTACAATCTGGAGAAGGGAAGGAGAGGGAAATCTGATCTGATCTCCTTCGGAGGTACCCTCTCCTTTGACAGATACCCTCAAAGGCTACAATTTACAGTCACATGTATAAAACCAGACCTTTCAGTCTGCTAGACGTCCCAACAGAACCAATGAAGTATAACGATTTGCCTGAAAAGATTATACTGCAGTTTTGCACATCTTTTAGCACCCCAATGAACTACTCAAGTCCTGTTTTCAAAGGTGACATTGTTTTAGAAAGTTGTGACCTCAAGTTCCAAGTAACTTGTTTAAACTCCAAGGTACTTCTAGAGACCTTTATGAAAGCCATGTAGAAGTGGCAGAAACACGCTGGATTATTTAACATGCAAAGCTCCACATATTTATAGCAAAGTAGGAACAAAAAGGGCACAATATTTATACCTTCATATACCTGGTATAAAGGAGCAAGAAAGGATCTGGACATTTTATTCAGACAAAACAATGCCAGATATCTGTTTTTAATTTTAGTGGGGTTTTTGTTTCAAAAACCACATTATTTTTTCAACTAATTACTTGTGACATATTTTGACATCACTTTGACATGATATGCATTCCTGAGGCTCCTCAGCGAACCTGCATTCAAATCTGTGAGAAGCAGAAAGATCTGTAGACATTTTCTATATTTGAGAATTTCAATGCCTGCTGACACCTGGTCTACTCCTCTAAACATCAACAGCAAAATGTTCATTGTGATAACAGCAAGGGAGGAGAAAACCTCTGTGATTTCTTCTGGAAAAACTCCCCTTTTAGTGCCTTGCCCAATTGCTAGGAAAAAAATCTAGGCTTAGCTTTCATTTAACCCAAGAACGTAGTGCGTGCTGCTTCATGTGGCACATTTTGTGCATGTTATCACAGAACACGAAAATTGGTTTATTATTATAATATAATAAAATCTTCTGATGGACATTTGATGAAAGTTCTCCTGATGCTACCAGAACTCAGACTTGAATGAGGTGATGTCTAAGTTAACACAAATGCTGCAGCACTGCCACTCATACAGCAATGTTAAAAGTGTATTTTACAGAGGTAAAATACTGCTAGGTATTTATTTGCTCTGATTTAGTTACTGAAATGAAAAAATGATGCAAATCTATGGAAAGACAAATTGAACACTCACTAAAGGAAAAGGAACGGAATTTGACAATAAGAGAGAAAAAAGAAAGCTTAGATTGATCACGAAGCTCAGAGTCCCCGAAGTTGCTTCAGTGAAAACTCTAGACCTGCATTTGAAGATTCCAGCAGGGAACTTCACCCGGGATTACCAACCCTGTGTGAAGTTTGCAGTTCTGATTTACTGTTCAACAGTGGAAGGAAGGAAGGAGGGAAGGGTAGATTCTTACCTGTTTAGCGCAAATGCATAATGAAACCTCACATGGTGGTGGGAAGCCAAGTCAAAAGTAGGCAGTTTTTCTAAAGTTTTCACCAGTTTCACGATGGAATCATAATCCTTCCAAAAGGAGGGAATAATGAAGTTTTAGGTGGCTGTACTGAGGTATGCCTATATAAACTCCTCTTTGAACTAAGCATTTATTATTTCATACTAAGAAGTATTTGCAGTTCATTGTAAGTTTTATGGATTTCAGTTTCTTCAGTCTTAACTGTAAATAGCCTGGCACTCCTCAGAAATGTGAATATGCACAGTATTCAGCAGGGAAACACGATTTGGTCTCCTGTACTGTCTCAACATGGACCTGTGGAAATTTTAGTGCATCTATTTCATGATTAAAATCAGCTTCAGGGGCTGAACACATATCAGAGTTCATATTGTACAGACGTTACAATGCTAACTGCATCTGAATTAAGGCATCCTGAAACTCTGAAGGAGGCATGAACCACAAAACCAAAATAAAAGAATCTTTCAATACCACCTTTTTTAAAGTAGCTTACTCCCTGACATATTTAAAAAAAAACAAACAAAACAAAACACACGCACACACTCCCCACCCCAAAAAACCAAACCCAAACCAAACCACTTCAAAATGTTTAAGGAACAACAGTTGAAATTATGTAGAACAAAGTAATTACTAGCACCATTCCAGAAGCTGAAATGCATATGAATATGTTATGCTTCCATGAGAAATGTCACAAGCACGGTGACAGAGAATACATCTACAAATCAATAGCAGAATGCTACTATGGCCTTTAAGTAGGTCACGCTACGGGCTGTTCATCACATAGTAATGATGAGGTGGAGAAGAGTTATTATAGGTTGTGTACTTTTTAGTTTTGTTATAACAGCACCTTTCTGCTATGTAAAGGCACACTACAAACAGTGTAACTACAAAATAAAGTAAAAAGCATCAGTTAAGACACTCCATAAGATTTTTACTAGTGTGCATAATTCACATAGTTTGTTAGCATATCTGTGCAAAACACACTAATAAATTCACTGAGAATGTAATTTAATTTACTGTTTTAGATGATCTTAGACCATAGGGTTCATACCTGGATGTCTCTGTAGGACAGCAGCAAGTTTATTACAATATCAGCAGACAAGACTTCAACATTATCCACTCGCTGTCGAATCCTTGCCAGCTCTGCTGCAAGCTCTTTGCCTGTGTAGAGTGTACGGGCCTTCCTGATGTCATTCAGAATGGATTCCCGGAAATACCGGCTGGAGAGGAACAACCTCACATCAGTAATTTGGGATGGGTCCCTTGCATCTATTTTTCTGACCTGCTCTCCCACAATGTATATGTGGAACATTCATTGATAGAGCAGTGTCAATGGAGAGATTGGGCCAAGCTAAATTATTCATTATCAATTTGTCTCAACAGAAGGCAAAACGTCACATCACCCTGAAGCAAGAGTCTGACATTTATATTGCCAGCAGGAACATAGGAGTTTTACACAGGGGTACAAGAAGACAACTCACCTTGAACTGGCCTGTGCCACCTTCAAGAGCTGGATAAATCGATCCACCAGAGGTAAGCATATAGGGCCAAGCAGCGACTCAAAGCTGGGCTGCATCAGTTCTGTTAGTCCCTTCATAAAACTGCTATCACAGCAGTACACCTTGTTATGTGGAGTTATCATATAAGGAACAAATATGTAGTTACCAGTACACATCTGTAGGGAGACAAGGTACAACATTTAGGGCAGTTATGGTTTGAGAAACCTAAGCATAAAAAACTGCATATACTACACACAGAATTTCACCTGCTAAAGGGAGATCTGCTGCTTACTTCAGCAAGACCAACATTTTAACTACAAAGCCTAGGATTGCATACCATTCAGTTTTCATCTCAAATATGATATACACCTGAAATGTATTCTTTCAGATTTCTGAACTGCTTCTGGTAAGATGAGTCTTTTTAGAAGCATCACATTGACCTTAAAACAGTCAACAGTGAAACAATCCTGAGGGCACACCCTAGGCACCCCAAAGCGGCAGGCAGACTCAGATGAGGCTGACATGCACTCTTTTCAAGGTGACTGATGTTCAGAAGAAAGCAAACACTCTGCAATTTAGTATAGTTAGCCTCAGAGATATTGGAAATAGTAACACAAGCTAGCTGCCTCACAACAGGAAAACTGCAAAAAACCCCTAATCCTCATATGAACTGCAAAATTATTCAAATAGTTTAGTATAGACAAATTAAGCATAGGCAAAATGATTCAAATAGTTTAGCAAAGACAAATTAAATTCTCTGCTATGTAGCAAACCTTCTTGGGCAGTGAGACTTAAACTCATACATATTTCAGAATAATCACTTATGAAACGTCTTAGCATTTCTAAACTGCATCAATTTCTATATATCAATGTATGACAGATACTTCACACACACACAAAAAATCATTTAAGTTTATCTTCCAGGGAAGAAGGAGGCAAGATGTCTGGTGCCTTGTGGTATGTGTGTGACTACGATCTACGCACATAGAAAGCTTGCTGAATATTTGTGGTTCTGAACGGTCTTAACTATGAGACCGCACACCACCAAAATCAGGAGTTCTGCCATTTGGCTCTCAAAGCTCAGACTCCACTACTGAAGTCACCAGCAAGCCAGCAAGAAAAGCCTTAAGGAAGCAATTCTTGAGACCCATCATTGTGGTACCCCTAAATTACTTCCAAGGTTAATTGCTTTCTGGTAAGCTGCTCCTGCTCTCCCAGAAGTCAACACAGCAATGAGGACATCACTTCAGAGACTCCCTTGGCAAGCTTAGCTCCATGCATTGAGAGAGTAATGACTGAACAGCTTTCAAACGCACAATACCAGCTGTGTGCTTAAAACACGCATTTTAACATGTATTATTAGATTTTTAAAACATGAAAGGCTTGAGGTACTCTAGTCCGTATAAATGTATGTGTACAGATATGTCAGTAAACATACGTTTGTGTACAGATCAGAGATTAGCTATGAAGAGTACAGGAATTACTTTTTTTTTTTTAAATTACCCCTATTATACTTTGAAACTATAAGACCTCGCTATAAAGGCGATCCCATCCCCACTTCTGAGGGATATAGACAAACTCTGTAAAATTTAAAAGTAATGGATGCAGGCATTTACATGAGGTCCATTGAGCTCAACTAATCCACAATGTGGTTGGAGATTATTGCATATACAGACTTGCACAGGGATGAGTTTAGTCTTCTGCCCCCAACAACTGCAAACTATTAGAGCTGAAAAGCTGGGACTCATTTTCCTGTGCATGAGCGTAGCAATTCCAAAGGAAAATTGAAAACTGGGAAGTGTATGATAATATTTTTAACAAGCAATTAAGGATTGTGATGCTAGAACCCAGACTGCTTATTCTTTATGATGGAGAACTGCATGGACACTTCTGCTAAAGAATATGCTAGCGTGTAAGGCAATCCCACACTTTCAAGAGTGAATGGATGAACCTTTGACCCTGCTAAAACCTGGTAAGTCCCACAGTCAAAAGCAGAGAGGAAATGATGAATTTGCTGGAACTGGTTTCAGCAATTACAGGACAAGGGTGGGCAGTGACTGGCACAGGAGCCACTATTAAGCATAGGTAGACTATTCTCCAACTTTTCTTCTTTATTTAAAGAAGAAAAAAGTTCGGTAAGTCAGAGCCAAGAGAAAGGGTGAAGTAGCTACAGATATCCTGGGGCAAGCATTTTATTTCCTAATGTTTATTCAGTGCATTAAAAATAAATTCAAGACTGCTTGCAGGAAGGCCTTCTCAGACCTCTGGCACACTGTTTCTAAAGCTCAGGTCTTACTTAAAAAAAGAAGTCTGAAAAAGGATGTTTTCAGCTTTTGAAATCCACAGAACCCAAAATTTATCCTGGCATAATGGCCAGGCCACCTACAGAGACAGTACTGGAGTCTTCATAAATAATCCTACAAGGAGGAAAACTACTCTCCCTGTAGAGGCCAAGTGCCTGAGTCCACTACTGAGCAAGAGCTCTTATAAACTGATCCCAAATGCACCTTCTGTAGCAAGCTGGTATCTATTTCAGTGGAACAAGAGAGACAGCAAAAATTAGTTTACATGCATTTTCCCTGCTACCTTACAGGGAAAAAAAAGCTGGTTTTATCACAGAGCCTGCTATAAAAGACACGCAGACGCAGCAGCCTTTGGAAGCAGCAGCCATTTAAGAATTTAACAGTGAAAGACAGGAGAAACCGCTACATGGGAAGAAAAAATCAATTTGCAGTTGTTCAGAGGGCCCCCAGGGTTCTCAGGGAATTGTCTCAAGGTAGAATCTCTCTTTGATCCTCGGTGGCAAATAGTGTGGGAACACAGTGGCCTTTCCCTCAGCCAGGGCATTAATTTGTTGTTAACCTAGGCAGTTTTGTGGGGAGCTCTGTATCTCTGAAACGTCTCAAATTTGGCTGAAATTCATCAGACAGACAAACAGGCAGATACAGAAAGAGGGTGGAGGATGAAAAAACAGTACAAGCTCTTAAGTTTCATTTCCTTAGGAAGTAGGCTTTTTAAAAAAAAAAACCCACATGCAGTGAAGTTAAGAAACACAAGAAATATTGACCTCAATTTCACTTTCCTAGCTAAAGAGTACATTAGATATCTAACAGCTGAACCTGATAAAGGCAGACATGCAGTAGCTCTGGTGACAAAAGGAAAAAAAAAAGCAGAATGAAACATTATATATTATTTGCTAAAGGTGGTGGTGAAAGAAAGATAACAGTGACAGCAAGACTGCTCTTATATAATAAAATCTATGGTCTCCCTCTATGGAGAAACATACTTTGTTACCATCACAAGTTCTAACTACAAAGAGCCCAACCCTGACTGCATTTGGGCAAGGATTGGGATGGGAGCCCAAAAGGACCAGGCTGGGAGGGCAGCAGCTGAGGAACTGCTCCGACATCAGACAGCTCTAAACCTTCTTCCCCAAAGCAGAGTGCATGGCTTCCTTCTTTCCTTATTCCAAGGCCATGCAACCTCTGGTTCAGCCACTTTTACTTCCTTTCTCAACTTTATTTGCCAAAATATAAGCTACACTAACAAGTCAGAAAGGATCAGGTGGTCCTTCTGACACCCACTTCCTATCTGCTCACGTGCTGCTTTACATTTTGACTTAGTGTACATTATTCCACTAGAAAGTTGAAATACATTCCACTTATCCTATTAAAACGTGCCCTATAACACTCCATCTCAGCTCTTCTCTCTCAAACTCTGATACTCTTTCCTAACCCTAAGTAACTTCATTCTATATTCTATGTTTGCTGAGTACCCAAGCCAAAATTGTTGTTTTCCTTGCTCCATTCCTCTGACTTGTCATATCATGTACAATGAAAGTAACAGAATCAAGCCATTCAAGAAAAATGGGCAATTTTTGAAGGAGTAACACCTTAAATCCAATTGCATTATTCTCAGTTACGTCAACACCCTTTAAAAAAACACACGTAGCATAAAGGGGCTTCCAAAGTGGGTGGGAATAGACCCCCCCCTCAAATCGACAACAGGTGCTAGAGGTTTCATTTTCCAACCCTCTTTCTTTATAAATCCCTCATTATTTACAGTTCAAAAGCTCAAATTACACTAACGAAAGTTACCAAGTGCTTGCAGGTCACTGGAGTTGTAAGCTGAAAGGCATTACTGAAACCATCAGGGGCTGGGACAGGCCGTGAGTGTGCATATAGATAGTTACTATGGTTCAGCCTGATGCACAAGAACTCGGGACATTAGATAAGGTAAACTTGGCCTGAGCTCTCAGGTCAGCTGCGCTAGTTATATCTAGGAGATAGGAACATACCTATCTTTGAAGGCTTCAGGCCAGCACACTCACTACCTGGCAACATCAGGCCACCTTCTGAAAGCCTGGCTGTGTCATAGCCCATTTCATCAAATCAGTCAGACTAATCAGAAGGTAGAAGTACCGGCTGGAGCCAGCTACACATGCATGGATGCTTACCACAAAGTGACAAAATCTGTGATTCATTTTTGCAAATGTTTTAATTGGTTTTGTGTTTTGCTAATGTCCCTTCCTCACCGTGCAAAATTAAACGATTGCAGAGTGTGTGTAATTGCAGTTTAAATACAGCTGTAACACTGTCTTAATAATTCTACAGTTACAGAACTTAAGACTATGCTGCTCCTAGCTAGACCTACTGGTCACTGGAACATTAAGCACTTCCTTCTTGTTTGATATCCCTTCTCAGCTTCCGAAAAGAAATTGATATAGCACCTATTTGTATTTAAGAGATAATAAAAATGCATAGCATACAGTTATATCTTAATGAGCATGATAAGAGCATAAAACAGCCCTTCTTTCAATATCCCCCTCTAATACTGTTACTTGTAAAAGGGGCAGCCTTCTGGGAATTCAATTTGGAGACTATGTCTTCTTAGAAAGATCATCATGCACTAAGGCAAACACTATTCTCTTCCCTACAAATACATCTGACATAGTACAGAAGATTTTTCTCTGAAAGTTGTACAGATGAAGAAGACATAGTGATATACAAATGAGCATTTGAGTTCTGCCCAATTAATTCTCAGATCTTGAATTTTACTTGAAAAGGAGGGAGAGAATCTGCAGAGTCCCAGGGAGTCAGTGCTGTGCAGTCCTCTCAGTTCCCTGAGGCTCTTTACTAGCATTGACTGTTAAATGATTCCAACAGAGCAAATATCCACAAACAGAAGAAAGGTGCTTTCCAAGACAAGTGTCAAAGAAAACAAAAATCCCCCAAAACAAACCCATGCTGCTTTACTCATGGATGGGAGAATCTAGCAGAATCCCATCTACTTGCCTAAGCTTCAGGTCAGCATGCAATATAACTTTTTTTTTTTTTAATAAATAAAATCAGCTGAGGTAATAAAAATAGCCAGTGTCTCTCACAGTAGGAACTGTTCTTCCTGCTTGCTCTTCTCTAAGATCAGCTTTTCTGCATTTCTCCTACTAGTTCTTTTGAGAAATATCTGCTCTTATTTCAACTCTTCTGATGAGATTTTTCTTAGAGATAATTCTCACTGCACATGCTGGTACATGTAGCAGATGGCAAAATCCTAAACCAAGTTATTAAATCTATTCCCTCCATCCCCCAAACACACAGTAAATCAACACATGCTAATGTTTTAATGAATACAGACTCAGTCTGGGTTTACTTCAAATCCCACTCACACAAATGACAGCCTTGCTATTGATTTGAAAAGGAGCATAAGTAAGCCTCACACCTCAAATGAACTGAAGCACAGAGACTGGGTATACCCTTAAACACTTCCCATTTTCTGTGGGAATATATTCTTTCTTTATATGCCTAGCAATAATGTTCTATTGCAGCCACATCACATCCTAAATGCATGTTAACAATCAGGATACAATGTATATGGTCCTTTCATCGTATTCACATGGGAAAAAAGTTCTAACTTTTTCCAAGGCAAGTATGTGCCAAAAATATTAGTCAAAGAATTCAAAAAATGAAAGAACAAGCAAGAGATAGTGATGTATCATAAACAACAATAAATATCACAGCTGTCATTATCAACAAAACATTCACTGAAGGTCACCACATAGCATTTTTACATACTTGGATACCAAAAATTCAACTGCTCCCAAATAATTTGTCAGCTAGGTGAGGAGTATTAAAAATATTTCCCCCTATTTCCACAGTGAAAGAGACCAACAGCTAAACATATCCTAAGGGATCTACAGTCTTCTAGCAGCACCCTGTACGGAGGCTCCAAGCTTGCAGACGCCTCCGGCATGCCTCATCCAGGGTGGCTCCCACTCCCGCTGAAGGAGCGCTACACCACACTGTCTCCCCAGCTACTCCTTAAGCAGGAGGCAGTTAGGAAGGGCTGTGGAAAACCAGTAAAAATTACAATCTCTGATCCCTCCAAGTGTCAGAAAAGGAAAAAACCCTAATCAGTCCCCAGCCGTGCAACATTAGCCCTGTTGCTTAATCAGTAATGCCTGTGAGTCAGCTGCCCGGCAGAACGGTTCCCATTGCCTCCCCATTACCCCTCCGATCTGTCCGGAAGCTGTACCCAGTCTCACACCCCAGGGCAGCTCCCAAGGCCACCTATCCCTCCAACCTGGTGCAAGCAAGAAGCCTGAACTGAAACGTGAGCATTGTGTGAAGGTGTTACTTACTGCAATTGGTTGCAAACCATACGTATAATACGTGTACATTAAACTTCCTGAGATTCAGCAAGAAGTGAAATTTAAAAAAAAATAAAATTAATAAACGGCCATTTGGAACCAGACCTGCAGCTTTTCTCCAAAGTTGGTTACAGTTAAACTGGGGAGAATTCGGATGAAATAACTGGTGAGCTAAAACAAGCAAAGCACAGCCCTGAACTGTAACCTTTATACCAACATCTCCTTGTGACTGAAACTCTTTACTAGTAATTTCTAGAATGCCTCTGCTGCTTGGTTGACCTCAGAAATCAGATAAAAACAAAAACTAAACTTAAGCTTTCAAATATGAAAGTAACTGCCTCCTGTCAAAGTATCGCTCCCTGAAAAAAACGTATGTTTTAGGTATTACTGCAACATTTGGAAAAGGTCCAACTAAATAGCTATAAAGCCACATATAACAGGAAATGAGCCTATGTTATCTTGCACCGCTCTGCCCTGACAGGCTCCAGGCAGCTTATCCTAGCTATGCAACATTGTATTGACTATTATTAGGAAGCACAAAAATCCAGTCAGAACAAAGAACAAAACAGTTGGTAATGGATTTTTTTTTTTTTTTTTCTCCCCACTAGTTTTAGGGATACAAGGTTCAGGAAAAGCAAACACAAGGCACTTCAGTTAGACAGATATATATAGATACACATGCACTTGTTTTGCAGCTTTTTTAATCCCCTGGTGCCAGGGATACCATTGTCCTGTTACGGCTGATGTTTGCACGCTATTAAAAGACATGTTCTAGAACAGCAGGTTTATTCGTATCTGAACTTCATTTTTTCATATTTGCAACCTCACCTAATCAATCATATGACTATTTTTGGGACAGGCGGGCATCACAATCACAGCCTCTGAAGAACAGCACCTTTGTCCTACCAATTTATCCAAGAGTCTTACAATTTACAAAGAAACATGATTTTCATAAAGCAGGATTTCCGTTCAATAGCTAGGCATACACCAACACTGTGAAAAGTCTATTTCCAGGTAATTTGGCTGACATCGCGCCAAAAAACAAGGAAAAAGGAGAAAAAAAAAATAAATCAGTTGCAGAGTTGCTAAGCCGGTTTTACTGACTTCCCTGTTCTAATCCCTGGGAAAATACTTCCTCCCAGAAAAGATGTTATGTGGGTGTGCTTGGAAACATCTGAGACTCTCAAGGAACACATTCTTTGTGTGGCATACGTTGAAACATTTCTAAAAGTGATAAATGACAGTTTCATAGCCACCTATCCAAATTTAAATGGATAACAGAATAATCCTTTCTCAAACAGATGAAGGTCAAGTCATCATACCTCTCCTTGAGCTTCAGGGACTGTCATTTAAAATTAGGACAAGATGACAACATCTCGCCTTTATCCTACTGTACAAGTCATCTCCTGCTGGTTTCCTGCTAACAGAGCTCTTCTCCCTACCCTCCCAGGGACATTACATTAGTCACACATCATTTTCCCTAGATCCTGGTCCACCAGAACAAAAATACAGAATACAATACATCCATTTACAAGAAAGGCCTTACCTGTTCTCTTCCCTTTTGTGTACAGGCCGAACTGATCATTTACCCCGCTTTCATTAGAAAAACGCGAGAGATTTTTAGTCTAGCACATCACTGACAGCATTCTATGAGTGTCTGAAAAGCACTTTTTGGTTAAGAGTTATAACTCTATATGGAACCCTCTTTGCTTGTTTTTTTTTAGTTAAAAAAAAAAAAGAAGTAACTTAAAATGCAGCGTTAGGGCCAAAGTTTGCACTGGTTTTGAAACCATCTTTTAGAAACTCTATCAGCTATAATGGATGACTGCATCCTTTTCAAAGAATCATGTTTCATACTGGCAGAAGTCAGTACTTAATCCACAGATCTCACTGTTAAATAAAAAAAGTCAAGCCCATTTTTATAGCAGTTTTAACAGTGTGGGAAATAAAACCTGACCATTTTCTAAAGTAAAATACTTCATATGCCCCTTAGAACAGTTTATTCAAACATATGGAGTTGTACAGAATACACATAGCACCTCAGGATATCTGCACACCACTGACTAACCACTATAAAATTATATCTTAGCATATATGGCTACCAGTAAGTCCCAAAGTAAAGCCAAGAACAACTCAACATGCCAGATATATATTCTGACATGACTGGCCCTGCTGCTCCAGCACAGACCACAGTGAGAAGGCAGTGTTCTCGCAGTCACAGGTCTGCCTCCCTTGAACTTGGAGCGAAAAAGGGAAGGGGGATTTGCAAGGCCAACCTCAGAAACCAGAGGGATGCCAAGGTGCAGAAACCTACAGTCTAATGACTGGCAGTCACAGACAGACTGCTGGGATCTGCACTGCATGAAGACTAACAGGCTCCAGGACTCAAATTCCAGAAATAAATACACACACACTCTCTCTCTTTATAAATATATATATTTTCATAGCTGCAGCTATGGGTTTCTAAAATGAGCATCAGTTTCCAAATAACTCTCCTTTTCAATAGAGTATTTTTTTAAAAAACACTGAAGAACACTGTACAGAAAAAGGCAACAGAAAAAAAACCCACAAGATGACAGATGTAAATGGTGTGTGAAAAAATATGACAGACAAGTAAAGGCAGCAAGGAAAATACCACTGATAGATGGAGACAAGGTAAGAAGTGAGCCTGGTACCTAGCAACAAAGTGATATACACAGATTTGCTGCTAGGATTTCCAGAATTCTGCATCTAACTCTGTAAAATACAGTAGGAGAGTGTTAAATGATTCAAGTGGAAAACATAAGATAAACAACATTAAATGGAACATAAGTTTGGAATGCCTAGGGTTCAAATGGCACCCAGAAATCATACTTACATTATTCTTCTGGCAAATAATTTCCTGGAATAAAAAAGAAGAAAAAAATTATGTTGATAGCACTGAACAACTACAAGGAAAGATACCTGATCAGTATGACTTGCTAATATTAACGTTTACAGACACATGACAGGAAAAAGGCTGGTTAGTAGATGTTTTCTATGCCTGTCAAATCAATATAAATCAAGTATTGTCTCAGGAGACACAAAACAGCTATGGAACCAAGTAGATACATACATCCTATATTTACACAGGAGCATATGTAGTGTGTGCATCTGTATATACACACGCACACATGTACATACTCCTCCGTATATAAATTTTTCTAGAGGGATGCTGTCCAAAAGTTGACTATTAAGACACATGCACTTGTATTTGAGAAGTTAAATATCATAAGCAACATTTTGCTGCCAGCAGAAGAAACTGTGAAGAATAGTAAAACATTTCTACGTAATAGAAATAGTGGAAGTATTTCTATGAGGTTTTAAAATACTCCAAAAACTAGTTGAAATTCACGTTGCTCTAATAAATCTGATGCAAAGAATGTATCTTCACATTTTAAATGTAAAGTCCCAGAGAACAAGAAGCCAGAGCACACTCGCATGGAAAGAGCTGGTTCTTGCACTCTAATCTGGGTGGTACAGCCCATGTGCAAACCACTTGTGGACAGGGATCTTGCTTTCAGGAAAATTGGTCAGCAAGTTCTGATCCCAGCAACTGGTAACCCTGCCAGATTTATCAGACAGCTACGCTACATCTCTGCCACTGGGACTGCTAAGCAGCTTCATCTACACCACAGCATTAATAACAAACAGCGTCAAACCAAGGCACCTCGTACTTTCCATGGAAGTCAGGCTTCCATAAAACTGCTCTTCCCCCTGTTGAGGGGACATGTATCATGCAAGCTTTTGAAGTGTGGGACATAAATACGTTTATATACATAAATATACAAACCTATACATGTATGTATATAGACTAGAACGGTTTGGGGTGGACGAACCTTTACAGATCATCTAGTTGAACCCCCTGGCACGAGCAGGGACAGCTTTCACTAGATCAGGTTTCTCAAAGCCCCATCCACCCTGATCTGAATGTTCATATAGAGGAATATTCCACTAGCAGAAGTTTACCTACATTGCTTTGCACCCCAGTTAAATCATGTGCTGCAGTTTTGTATCTCCTGTGTTTCCACGATCATTTTCAGTTTTTGAATTCACCACCTTCTATACAAGACTAAACCAGCATACGCACTCCTGCATTGCTTCTACTTTATCTGGTGGCTGTAACAAACATCGCCTCAGAAGATGCCCAGGCATGCCCACAACTATTTTTTTCAGGCAGCCACTAAATAATACCGAAAGAGTCTTGCTCTCTGAAGACTTTCCTGCAAACTATCAAAAGCAGAAACATGGGCTCAGCTCAAAGCTAAAGGAAACTCAAGGAAGTCTTTCAGTGGGCACTATACCGGTGACGACTGGGACATCCAAGTCTCTCTTTGCAGAACTGGGCTTCCACTGACATCAGTGGGAACCCTCCACATGATCTGTTTGAAAAGTCCAGCTCCTAAACTAGTAAAAAGTTCTCCCAAGTGCCCAAGGACGCCTGGTGCCTCATTCCAAGTGATTTTCAGTGGGAGCCGGGTTTTTGGCTCCTCACCCAGTACAACAAAATTCTGCTCTGCTTATACTGTAGATCATTGTACTTGCATAATTGAATTCAAGCCACAGATAGGTCTTTTGTCATTAGCAGTTTTATTTTTAGGGCTTTTATCTGTATACTCTTTGTCTTGCAAACAGAATGGAAAGAACTGGATTGCAACCAGTCCAGTTGGCCAAGAAAAGTTGGAGGGAAGAACAGAGGGAAGAAACTGACTTACTCAAGGTATGTCCCTCCCAATAGAGGGCCAAGCTGCAAATAACGGGACAGAATCAAAACCAAATATCCTGCACTAGCCAGAAGCAGTGGAAGCAAACCCTTCATGAGAGGCGACGGTGCCCAGATTGCAGTCTGACTCACCAAGCTGCTTACTAAAATGCTTCTTTTCAGCAATGCCTAGAATGGAAGCGCAATAGCATAAAACATCTCCTGATCAGAGCCAATGAATGTGAGGGAGGGGAAGTAACTGAAAAGACTGCCATCCAAGTTGTCTGCCCTCCCACATCCCCATGAAAGTTACTAAACCTTTAGTAGAGTTAGCAGGAGGAAGAAGTATCAACCCCTTGACTGACAAAATTCACAGGCTCTTAGATTATCTTAAACCACCACCTTGCTGTAAACCAACCTACCATACTGTGAACTGTGGCCCTCAGGACCAGGCACAAGTTTTGTTTTTACTAACTCTGCTACACTGCTGGTAATCTCACAGAATCACAGAATGGTTTGGGTTGGAAGGGACCCCAAAGACCATCTAGTTCCAACCCCCCTGCCATGGGCAGGGACACCCTCCACTAGACCAGGTTGCCTAAAACCCCATCAAACCTGGCCTTGAACACTTCCAGGGAGGGGGCACATCTCCAGCACAGCAATCCTGCAGGTACCTGATGTAAATTGCTGTAACTCAGCAAGACGTACCAGAGGCCTCATCAGGTTTGGCCAGAAAATTGCTACTTTACAGAGGAGCTAAAACTTAAGAATTAT